CAACCCACCACCACTGCCACCCAACAACCCACCACCACTGCCACCTCCACCCAACAACCCACCACCACTGCCACCCAACAACCCACCACCACTGCTACTACCCCATGTCCCATCAGTACCACCATTATCACCCCACATCCCACCACCACTGCTACCTCCTCCACCACCCAACAACCCACCGCTGCCACCCAACAGCCCACCACCACTGCTACCACCACCCAACAACCCACCACTGCCACCCAATAGCCCACCACCACTGCCACCACCGCCACCCAATACGCCGCCTCCAATTCCACCCAATAGATCACCACCTCCTCCACCCCCACCACCAAGAAGGCCCCCAAGAAGACCACCGCCTCCACCACCTCCTTCTCCACCAAGCAGACCCCCAAGGAGAGGACCACCACCATTCCCACCAGCTTTACCCAAGGGCACCTCTCTCAGGGCTGAGTGGAGGGCATCGCTTTGCTGCAGGGTGGTCGAAATGGCTGCAGAAAGGCAAAGATGTCAATCGGGACTTTCTCTCTCTCCCACCTTTAGCTCCTCCCCTAGGCATCACCCCTGGAGGACCTCACATTCCTTCCATATAAATGCAGAGGCCATAGGGAAAGATTCCTAGGTAAGCTCAGTAGCTGCTAGGTTTTCCCTGGCTAATTTTAATCTGGTTTTGACATCATTCACACTCCCTTCCAAGTGCTCCACACTTGTTGTTTTTGCTGTCAGTTCCCATTAAACTGATTCTGACTCATAGCAACCCCATATGTTACAGAGTAGAACTGCATCATTGGTTTTCTTGGTTCTAATCTTAACTGTGACAGATTACCGGGGCTTACCCTCTGTGATACAGTGGGATGGGTTCGAACCACTAACCTTTAGGCAAACAGTCAAGGCAAACCATTTGAGTCACCTAAGGTCCACTCTTCACACTTTACAGATTAAGAAACCTACTTTCTCATGCATTACCTTAACTGATTCCTGGGAAATAGTCAAAACCAAACTTTATGTCCTTAACTGATAGCTAAAGAAATTGAGATCTGTGCAGTACTCAGAGCCCTCTTAGCTAGGAATAAACTCATTTCCAATTCCCATGATCGCCTTAGGCAGAAACTGGGGTAGAGAGCATGCCTCATTTGCCAGATGACTAAAGAGAGATCCTAAGAATTTGGGAGGCAGAATAAATAATGTCTCCCTCCAGTTCAAGGCCTTCTGTGTACCAGGAACTGTGCTAAGTGTCCATAGAGGTCATCTCATTAAATTCTCATATTGGTCCCCTGAGATGGGGACCACAATTGTACCCATTTTGCAGATGATGAAACTGAGACTCAGAGCGCTCATGTCATGGACTTAAGGTCACACAGTCAGGATTGGAACACCAGGAAGACTGACTCCAGAGTCCAAGCTCTCTGCTGCCTCAAGAGATAGAAGCATAAGGTCTTCAGCATGGTGCTTGGCACATAGTAGCTGCTCAGGAACTGGTAGCCAAAAGAAAAGGGGGAAAGCCACCTGGGCATCTACTGTGGAATCTGCCAGCGAGAAAGAAGGCCCACTGTAGACTGGACTCACCATTGCTCAGCACATTTTTGGTAACCCTGAGGACAGTATTTGTCTCTTTCTCGATGCCACTCACAGCCACCACGAACAGAGCAGCCACATACCACGTCAGCCACATACTGGCACAGCTTCCCTGCTGAGGAGACAGGGTACCAGATGGTTGTGCATCACCACCTGGCCAGCAGGTGAAGCTAGACAGCCTCTGAGGGAGACATAACAGGATCCTGACACCCAGAGATAGAGGAAACTGACCCCACATCACACAAATGGGGTAGGGCCCAGAATTCCAGAAACTTCCTGTGTTTTTTCAAATAGAAATACATCTTGGGACACAAAGCAGACATCAATAACTTAACTGTCCCAGGGCAGAGATGTCTGATTATCTCTCAAACTGGAATTTCCAAATGGAGCCTCAATGAGAAGGGTAATGGGGATTTCCATCTGAAATAGCAAACTGATAGCAAGTTGGCTTTGGGAAACTCTCCAGAATCTAGCCATTCATTCATCCACTCATCCATCTATTTATCCAACCATTCATTCTCTTCTTTCTACTCATCTATACCTCTAGCCATCCATCCATCTATCCATTCTTCTGTCAGTTTTTCTGCACATCCATTTAGCCACCCTCCCATGCATCCAGTCACCAAGTAGATACCTTTTCTACTTCTTTGGAGGAGACTGTTTTATATCATGTGATTAAAGTTAAGGGCTCTGGATCAGGTAAGAGACCTTATCTTTTCTGAACTTCTCAATCACTAACACACCATATCTCGTTCCTAATACCAAAAAACCAATTGCCATCAAGTTGATCCCAATTCATAGCTACCCTATAGGACAGAGTAGAACTGCTCCATAGGACTTTTAAGGCTGTAAGTATTTACAGAAATAGACTGCTCTTTCTCCCAAGGAATGAACCACTGACTTTTCAGTTAGCAGCTGAGCACCTTAACCCCTGTGACACCAGTGCTCCTCAAGCACCTAGCCGACACTCAAAAAGCAGTACCTGTTGTAATTATTTCTGGAATATTATTTCAGACCTCAAGAAGTGGGGATGGGAGAGTGTTAGGAGATTGGAGGGTATTTTGGGGTAAGTTGACCAGACTCCAGGAAATTTCATTTTGGTGCCTCCATGCCTGTGTCCATTCCCTCGGACTCCATCAGCCATGTCTACCCATTCACCAGTCTTAGATATCAACGTGGGACATGATCTTCCATCAGGGCCAAACTGTGAAACTCTTGGCTTCAGCCTCCTCCACGTTTTTGCCCTGCCCCCAGTTCTCTGGAAGTTCACAAAGCCCCCAGGTCATCTGAGCACCCCCATCTGCTCCCAGGAAAGGACTGGAGACACTTGTTATTACTAGAATAAGAAGGATTGATATGTGCTTTTTTGTTTTTCACAGCTTCCTCACCTGAGAGCTCCCTGTGCAAACAGACACCACCACCTTCAGTTAAAAAGATGAACCACAATGGAGGGGTTTCTGGCATCAGCAAGAACCTGAAGGGTTTCAGGGAGATAGCAAACGTTCCTATCTAGGAACGATGGGGGTGTTCTTCCCATGCATGTAATCTATGTGATTCAAGTCCTTTTGATCAACCTCTGAGAGGTTCTCATGATTACATCCATGTTACAGGCAAGACAGCTGAGGCTCAGAAAAGGGTCACCACTTCTGAGGGGTCACCTCAGAAAGGGGTCCAGTCGGGGACCCTCCCTTCCTGGTCTCAGCCACTGACACCTCTCTAGACCCCAGTCTTCCCCTGCCCAGATACTGAACAACAAAGGGGCTCCTCCTTACCCCTGGGAGGTTCCCGCAGCTCAGTCCAGAGAGATCCCTCCACTGGGCCCTCTGCTTTGGGTTGAGTCTGGTCACAGGTCAGCTTTATATAGCAGCCAGAGTCTGAGCCTGGGCCCAAGAGGGAAATACCGTGTAATTACAAGAGACCGGAATTCAGATTTGTTATGCGAATCAGGCATTGAGCCCCAAAACCACAAAGGTTTGTGGTTTGTGGCTAATTCCGAGAGTTATGCTCAATCCCAGATGGTGTCACATGAGCCGGGGTTTATCAGCCCCTGGTCTGGGCACATTCCCGGAGACCCCAGCCAGGCCCCCAGATTGGGGAACCAGAAACACACACCCCCACCCACCCACCCAATGCATCAGGTTTCCAGCTCTACAATGACCACTGCCTACTCCAGATGGTCTGGGCAGACAGGATGTGCCCACAACTGGACCCAAGACCAGGCTGATCCAGGTTCAAACCCCACCTCATCCCTAATTCACTGTGTGATCTGGAGCCAGTCACTTCCCCTCTCTGAGCTTCACATGACATAATGAATATAACACCTACCTACGGGGATGTTCTGGTGTGGCGCCATAGGATAAGCACTTGGCCACAAGGTTGGTTTGAACCACAAGGTTAGTGGTTCAAACTCTACAGCTGCTCCTCAGAAACCCTACAAAGGATCGCTATGGGTCGGAACCGACTCAACGGCACTTAACAACAATAGCAACAGGGATGTTTAGAGGATGTTTAGAGAGCTGGGTGTGTGTCCGGATCCTCAAACATGAGGTTGGTGTGTATAAAACATGCAGGTGAGCTTTTTAACTGTGCAGGAAGTCTCCCCCAACAAAATTTCATTATGATATTTCACAGTGAACACCCTGTCGCCTTTGCCCCACCAGCTCCATCTACCATTATCATTTTTATACTTGCTTTATCACAAACCTACCCGGCTGCCCATTAGTCCACCTTGTTTTCTTATGCATTTCAAAGTAAGTTGCAGATAACAATACACTTCCCCTAAACACTTCAACATGCTAGCCATTACATAATAGTTCAAGATTTGTTTACAATTCTTTTGTTCAAATGTAAAATTTATGTACAAATACAGTGCAATGTACAAATATTATGTTCGTTTGTTGAATTTTGAAATTCCATACAGCCATGTAACCCACACCCCTGTCACAATATGGGGCATTTCCATTAATCCAGAAAGTTCCTTCCTACCTCTCCTTAATCAGTCTCAGTTCCCATTTTCCCTCCTCCTCCCCCAGACAAGCAGTGCCCCCACCTGGACCTGATTCTAGGCGGTCTGCCTTGCACACTCAATTCTTATTCTTTTCATTCCCTTCCCATCAGTCCCTGGCCTTCCTGCATCTAGGCCTTTGCACATGCAGTTCCTACAATCTGGAATGTCCTTCTCCCAATTCCATTTATCAAAATTGTGCCAAAGTGTCAGCTCCTCTAGGAAGCTTTCCTTATCCTTCCTATGGACCACCCAGGACCCTCTAGGCCCCAGAATGTGGTGTCATTGCTCCAGATAAATAAGGTAAGGCAGAAATGTGCCCTGATCCTACCCCAGCACAGGTGCATAGATCAGTATCATGAGTGAATGAATGAGTGAGTGAATGAATGAATGAATGAGTGAATGACCTTGTCCTCGTTGCTCACCTCCCTCTCCAGCTCCAGCCCCGGTTTTCTCTCCATGTTTAATCCATGATTCTACCTCCTCTACCTGTGAACTCCTAAGAAGTGGGGACATTTCTCACTCTCTGCCGGGGCCTGTTTTCTAGTGGGCTGGGAGTAAACATGTGCTTTCATGAACCTCATGAGGAGATGCTCCCTCTTCCCTCCCTGGGGCTCTGAAAGCAGCATGACTGTCCTCAAGTCCTGCCAAACTCAGTCAGTGGCTGCTTTGTATGTGTCCCCAAGCCAGTCCCTCTCTGAGACTCAATTTCTCCAGGTTGGGTCTGAATTCTGCTGCCAGCTCTCTCTGAGCCTTCATTTCCTGGGTTATGGTGACTGGAACGATCCCAACCACAAAAAGATGTTATAGGGATCAAATGACTTAATAATCCCACAGAACACTGAAAATAGTGTATAGCACACACTAGGTGCTCAGTAGATGGTATTTTTATCCTCCATACCTGACTCCCTGCTGGCCCCACATGAGAGCAAGTCAGCAAAGGCAGTGAGAGAGGAGTACAGCATCAGCTCAAGCCCTGGACGTCTGTCCTCTCCATCTCCCGTGAGGTCCCAGAATTGTGCACACTTTAGTTCCCATACCACATCTGATCTATCTCCCTGGAGTGATGACTTCTTCTCCCTGGCCCTCAGTCTAACTAACAGCAAAATGAGTACAATTCTGTTTCCCCAGCAGAGCTGCAAGCATTACACGGGATTTACCTAGAGCCCCAAGGGATCAGTAAACACCATCCCCTTTATTCTCCCCCTGACCAAGTCGGCCTCTGTGTAAGGGTAAATTCTGTATGAGCTTGTGTTGATGGGTTTCCTCCCATGTGCCTCAATTCCCCCCCTTGGGAAATGGCCCTCCTCTGTTTACCACTTCTGTGTTCCACATGTGGTTGCTGTTGTTAAGTGCCATTGAGTCGGTGCCCTAGCCACCCTGTAAAGGGTTTCTGAGGAGCAGCTGGTGAGTTGGAACCACCAATCTTATGGTTCAAACCGACTTTTCAGTCCAGTGCTTATCCTATAGCACTACATCAGGACTCTATATTTACTAGGTGATAGAAATGCTTATTAGACAACAAGATTACCTTTTCCATTGAAATAAAATGCAGAGGACAGCTATGTTTTTCCCTGTCCTTCTCCTGACAGCTCTCCAGTGGGGCCCATTGCACACTGTAAACTCTAGAGGGTGGTACACACACAGGGTGATTGCCATCCGTGGTTGTTGTTAAATGTCATCAGGTCAGTTCTGACTCATAACAACCCTGTTACTCAAAGCTTTATCTTGGTCCTTAATCCTGAGACCAGCCAGGCCCTGTGGCTGAGATGCCGCCTGCCCCCTGCAGCCCCCTGGCCACCCCAGAGGATTACTGCCACACTGGCGCCAGGGAGATCACCTGGGCTTAGCGTCCAAAAGGCACCTTTGTCTGGAGTTCGCCAGGGACGTGGGGAGGGATATCTGATTCCCTCAGAGGTGCCTGAAGGTGAGTCACCCACATAGGGGGCCATGCAAGAGGCCACACAGGGGACTTCCGAGATCAGACACATCCCCAGCCCCACCACCCACCCTTCCACTCAGCTCTGTTTCCCACCTGCACTGTTAGCCTGCCAAAACCACTAGGAGGCTACCAGTTGAGGGTCTCCCTTCACATCTTCTTTTATCCCCCTTACCCTAAATGTGGAGGTTCGGAGTCTAGGCTCTAGACAGATAGGCCTGGGTTCAAATCTTGGCTTCTTCACTTTCTAGCTGTGTGGCCTTGGACAAGTCACTTAATTTCTGTACTTCAATTTCCTCAACTGCATAAGAGTGGAGTCCCTGGGTGATGCCAACAAGTAAATGCTTAATCATTATCTGAAAGATTGGAAGCCCTATCCTAATCCACTTCGAGTTCCTGGAAGGAAAAGCCTGGTAACCTCCTTCCAAAGGTAAAAGCCTTGAAAACGCTATGGAGTAGTTCTACTTGGCACACTTAAGAGTCCCTGGGAGTCAGAATCCACTTGACAGCAACTGGTTTGTTTGTTCGTTTTCTCATCGTTATTTTGTGCAGCCACAGAACTCCCCATGATAAAGCAGATGCCATCTCCAACTTTGGGGAGCTCCTGATGGAGTAGGAGAATGAGACAGGCAGTGACAATCCCACGTGATACGTGTGAGAGAAGGAGTGAGAGGCTCCACTATTGGGAGGCTGCAGGCATCTTGTACACTGACCACGGTGGGGCCGCAGCCAGGCACACTTGGAGACGGGCATGCCCAGGAAGAGGAGGTCTAAGCACACATCGGCCAACCCCTCTTCTCTGTACTTTACAAAGTTGGTTTCATCTAATCTTCAAACAATCCATGAGTGAACACTATATTATTCCCATTTCACAGATGAGAGCCTGAGGCCCACAGACAATTCTGCTCCTTCCACACTCAAGGAAGAATCAGCTGAGGCCAGGCCATGAGCAGTCTCGAACACCAAACCTGGAAGTGCAGATGAGTTACTGTTGGCAACGTGAATCCAGCTTTGTGGCAGTGAGAGGTAGTCAGATGAGGTTAAGGATGGGCTGGAGGAGGGTGGGATGGAAGAGAGGAAGTGGGGAGGCCAAGAAGAGGCAGGCATGAGAGAGATGGGGCGCTGGGCTAGGGATGGGGAGTAAAGAGAAACAAGACACAGTCAGGAGGCAGAACAAGCGGCAATCACAAGAGCTAACAGTATTTGGGTGGAGCCCTGGTGATGCAGTGATTGAGTGCTCAACCAAAAGGTTGATGGCTCAAACCCACCCAGTAGCTCCATAGGAGAAGACCTGGCAATCTGCTTTCATAAAGATTACAGCCTAGAAAACCCTATGGAAGCAGTTCAATTCTCTTCATGGGGTTGCTATAAGTTGAAATCAACTCCACAACTCCAAACAACAACAGTATGGAGTGCTTCCTATGGACAAATTATCATCCTGAAGGCTGATTTATCCCTAAAAATCCTATTACAATCATACTATCATCCCCATAAAGAGTCTGCTGGCATGAACCATTTAAGTGGTTCAAATCTACCAGCCCCTCCACGGAAGAACAATGTGATAGTCTGCTTCTGCAAAAATGACAGCCTTAGAAACGCTATGGAAGTTTTGTTCTGTCCGATAGAGTTGCTATGAATCAAAATCAACTTGACAGAATTTGAACTTTTGGTTTATCATCCCCATATTATAAAGAAAACTGAGGCTCAGAGAGAATAAATGACTTGCTCAGGGCCATAGGGCTAGTCAGTAGCTAGGTGGGATTTGAATACAAGCAACTAATCCTTGGGTCAGTAGTGAGAAAGGAGTTGAACTAAATCCCAACATGTCATTCAGCACAGGGCCTGCCATGTAGTGCTGTTAGGTTGGTACGTGCTGGCGAATTGGTTTCAATTCATAGCAACCCTTTGCATAGTAAAGTGAAACATTGCCCAGTACTACATCATCCTCATAATTGTTAAGCAAGAGTTCCCTGTTTTATTCTTTAAGCCCATGATGGCTGCCACTGTGACAATTCATCTCATTGGGAGTCTTCCTCTTTGACGCTGACCCTTCCACTTTACCAAGCATGATGTCCTTCTCCAGGTACTGATCCCTCCTGATAACATGTCCAAAAAATGAGGGATAAAGCCTCACTATTCTGGCTTCTAAGGAGCACTCTAGTTTCGAGACATACATCTTCCAAGATAAATTTATTTGTTCTTCTGGAAGTCCAGGCTGCTGCTGCTGATATGTGCTGTGGAGTTGATTCCGACTCATAGCAACCCTGTAACAGGGTTTCCGAGGCTGTAAATCTTTATGGGAGCAGAAAGCCTCATCTTTCTCCCGCAGAACAGCTGGTAGTTCATAGTACTGTCAATATTCTTCTCCAACACTGTAACTCAAGTGCATGGATTCTTCTACTGTCTTCTTTATTCACTGTTCAAATTTCACAGGCATATGGGAGACTGCCAATACCATGGGTGGGGTCAGGCATACCTTAGTCCTCTAACTAACATCTTTACTCTATAAAACCTTAAAGAGGTCTTTTGTAGTAGATTTGTCCAATGAAATACAACTTTTGATTTCTTGACAGCTGCTTTCATGAATATAGTAAGTACCAATAAGTGAGAATACATAGACAGGAGGGAGGAAAGAAGGAGAGGGTAGATGGACGGGTGAATGAATATATGGGCAGATGGATGTATAGATGTGTGGTTTGATGAATGGATAGAAGAATTCAATGGATGAGTGGATGGATGGAAGGATGGATGGGTGAGTAGATAGCTAGATAGATGGATGATGACAGTTAAGTAGATGAAAGGGTAGTTTCAGGACCATTCCTAATGATAGGCAACCCTCCAGATGGGCTCCAAGTCTTCTCTGCATGCCCCTCAGCCTCAAACCCTCTGATCCAATTAGCAAGACCTCATTGGTATCCCTTCACTAAGGCTCATCCTTAGTGCCAATATGAGACCACTCCCCAGAACCAATAAGGCCCATCCTGAGCATCAAGGCAGAGCTTAGTGCCAGAATGTAAGACCCCCAGATTACCATCCTAATTCTGCTGCTGTGAGGCCCCATCTGCACTACCATTTGGTCCAGCTTTGCTCTAAGGTCTCTCCTGAGGGCTGTACAAATCTGATGTAGAACCAGTGGGGATCCTCCCACAGCAGACCAGTCTCATTCATCCTTGCATCCTGGGATGCCAGTGCCTTTTCTCCTATTCATCCTTCAAAATTCCACTCGGATCTCACTTCTGAGAAGAATCTCAAAGACACAGACAAAGAGACACAGATTCAGAGAGATGGAGTGAAAGATAGACTTAGAGAAGTGGAGAAAGAGAAAGAAAGATCAAGGAAGGGAGGAGATAAACACAAGACAGGACACAGAGGTTGCTCAGGTAAGTGTGGGACTCAAAGCTACAATGATTAGAAGGCTTACATCCCCTTATTCCCAATTGCTCCTACCTGATGCTGAGGAGGGCAGTGAAGACAGAGACCCAGGCAGCCCCTGTATGACTGGGGAAGAAACCAGCCAGGAGGTACTGAGATAGGGAAGCAGTTTATTGATAACTCAAGACTTGTCACTGAGGCTCTAGGAGGCAAAATTCTATAACTAGACCTGCAGTCCCCACCCAGATGGGTGCAGAGTCGCAGGGTCAGAGTTCCTGGGTAGGCCTGGTGGAGAGGGGATGCGGATGCTGTCACCAACATGGATTAGAGACTGGAAGGGAAATGGAGGCAGAGTGGGCAGTGGGCAGGATTCTGGACATCAACAGGGAGGGCTGGTGGCCACCTCTCAGACTCAGGACTTCACAGTCAGCACAATGGCATTCTGCAAGGAGCAAGAGTTCCCTGTTTTATTCAATGAGTCCTTGTGCTCAACACCTCTGTCACATCCTATCCCAGCAGTCAGCTCTGTCCCATCCGCACTCCCAACCCCACCCTGTGGTGACCACTATATCTGAAATCCAGAAAGTACTCATTAAATGTCTAGTAAATGGATGCATGGATGAGTGGATGGATGGATAGATGGATGGATGGATGGATGGATGGATGGATGGATGGATGGATGAATAAATGATACCTGCTATAGGGCAAGTTGACTTTAAGACTTATGGTTGTTGTGTGCCATCAAGTCGGTTCAGGCTCATGGAGACTCAAATTCAAATTCTATTTCTGCTGCTAATTTACTGTGTGACTTGGGCCATTAATCTGACTTCCATTAAACTTAGTCTTTGTCTGAAAAATTACCTACCTCCCAGAGCCGTACCAAGACTCATAGTTGTCATAGTTATACTGAGCAAGACAAAGTGTCATGATAGATTAGTCATGTCTGCCACAGGCACAAGATAAAGCAAAGACAGTCTGTGTATTTGCCACCTCTAGAAAGAGGTAATTGGGATTCTATGAGAATCTGAGATTCTATCCTTATAGACCAGAGCATATGTGTCTGAATTCAATCAGAAAAAACTCTGTAATTAATTGGTAATGTCTGCCATGGGCAAGGAAGACGTGAGAGCACACATACCATGTGTTTGCCATTCCCAATTTAAGTACTTTGTACATTTCTAGCAGGTGCCCATCAGAAGATGAGACAGACTTTCGCTCATGGATTTCAAGCAGAGCCCTTTGTAAGCAAACCAAAGGCCACATCTGGAACTCACCTCTATGATTTCCAGGACTGCATTGGCGAAATTGACATTAAGGACCTTAGGCAGGGGGATTCCAACATCCAGATCCACTGTGAAGAGGGAATGGTTGAAAGCAAATGTGTATGGGGACTCAAAGTGGGGCCTGGTGATTTGTTACTACCACTTTCCTCACGTCAACTATTTCTGTTTGGGGACTCAGTTACCTATTGGAAAACTCTGATTCATAATTCCCAAACAAAAATGCCCCACCATTGCCATCACTGGCTCCCCTCAGCAAAGCTTACTTGAGGCTTCCTCAGCCCCTTGTGCATTCTTGCTCACCTATAGTCCAATCGTTTGTTCATATAACTATTTCCCACTGGATGTGAGTTTGAGGACAGGATCCAAGTTCGACCCATCTCAAAACCTACAGTCCAGCATGATGTAGGTACTAAAAATGTTGTTTGAAAGAAACCATTGTTGCCATGGTTTAAGTATCTTAGCAATTGCAGTGAGGAGGGCAAATCCCTCTCTAGCTTCAGTGTCTCTATCAGAACAATGAAGTTATTGTTGATAAATGTTATCGAGTTGGTTCCCACTCATAGTGATCCAGTATAGAGTTTCTGAGGAGTGGCTGATGAGTTTGAACCACTGACCTTGCAGTTAGCAGTCTAGTATTTATCCTATAGCACCACTTCAGGACTCCAGAACAATGAAGAGAGGGAATAAATTAAGCAATCCCAAATTCAGAATACAGGAAAGCTTTATCCATACCATTGAGCTTCGGCACGTATGCAGCCCGAATAACATCACTGAGCCATTCTTCTAAGCGGGATGCCTGCAATAGTGCACATGGAGGACTTCATAGGGAGCAGTTTACCCCATTCCAGAGGTCCAGCTCCCCCACCCTGTCCTAAATCTGAGGACATAGCTCCAGGTGGCTGTCCACCCATCACCCCAAAGATGACTCATTGATTTATGCCAATATCAGCCTTGGTCACACACACATGGAAAAGGTTCCTTCCTAGAGGAAGGAAGGGTCTCCAGGGCCTGAAATGGAACAGTATCTGACAAAGAGAGATGATGTGCCCATCTCTCATAGAACCCTGTGACATTTGGCCTTCGAACTCAGTCATTTTAGAGACCCTTAGAATGTTCTAGAACCTGAACTTCAGAACTGTGAGAGAAACAAGAACCTCAGGCCTTTGTCAGGCTCTGAAATTTAAGAGATTTCTGAATTTGGAAAACTTGTTACTTGTATAAAGTTTCAGAAATTTGGACTTTTGAGGTTCTAGATGTTTATAGCTTGGTGAACTTCTAAAACCTTGGTGAGATTCTCTTTCTTCAATGCTCACTGTTTTACACAACCACACAGACCTGCCCTGATATTTGTCCACTCTAGGCTTGTTCGGGCTGAGTCCAAACTCAGGCCAACTCCACTATATGAACCACAGTTCACCCCACCTGAGCACCCTCCCAGGGACTTACATCAAAGGCATGGGCAAACGAGGAGGCCAGCTTGACATTAAGCCTAATGGAAAGAAGAGAGATGTTCAGAGTCCTGGTTCCTACCACCACCTGTTAAGAATTTCCCTGTTCCCTCACAAACTCCACCCTCAACATGCCCCAACCATAGCTCACAGGCACTAGGAAATAAGCCCAACTCTGCCTCCAACCAGCCTCAACTCAAAGACTCATTTTTCCCACCTATAAAATGGATCTGGAGGCATCTAACCTCCCTGCGACTCCACAGTCTGACTCCCTGCTGTCTGACCCTAGGCCAGTGACTGAACCTCTCTGAGCCATCTTCCCCCAGACTGGACACAGAGCATCCTGCATACAGCAGGCACTCAATAAAGAAAGTCCTCACCCAGGGGATTACAGCTGGCCCTAGTGCAGGTCCAGGACTGGACCAGAGTTGGACATAGGTGTTCACCTCCTGAAGGACTGAGGCCAGAACTGTCTGTTCCCAAGAAGAAGGAGATTATCCCCAGCGGAGGGCAGGGGCCTCTGTCCAAGAGTAGAGATTGGGTAACAGTGGAACCAAATGGGGAGCAGAAAAAGCCCAAGGAGCCTGGGGAACACTGGCATGGGGTCAGGTAAGCACTGGGTGCTGATGGCTCAAGACCAGCAGATCCCAGAGACGCTTGGGAAAGCCCTTGCATCCAGGATACCAGGCCATGGTGGGAGCACTGGATCTGCTGGATGCCACAGACAGCCTGGTAAATGAGCCAGGGTCTACAGCATACTTGGAAAACTGTAAAGTGCCATGTAGATGGAAGGAAGAATTGCTATTGGCCTCATCGCCTCGGTTACTAGGGAGCTTCAAAAAGTTCATGGAAAATGGAATGAAAAGATAAAGGAATTTTCCCACAAAATTTTTGAAGTCCTCCTCATATTACTAAGGAGCTCTGGTAGACTGGTGGTTACGAGTTGGACTGCTAACCTCAAGGTCAACAGTTGAAAACTACCAGCTGTTCCGTAGGAAAAAGATAAGGCTTTCAGCTCCTGTAAAGATTTACAGCCTTGGAAACCCTGTGCAGGATCACTATGCATCGGAATCGACTCCATGGCACACCACTACCACCATCTCATATTACTATTAACATAATGCCTAATTATTATTGTGGAGTCCTAGTGTGGTGTTGCAGGATATGTACTGGACCGTAAGTCAGTTTGAACCTCAAGGTCAGCTGTTCTAACCCACCAGTCACTCCTCGAAAACTCTATACAAGATCACTATGAGTCAGAACTGACTTGTCAGCACTTAACAACGAAGACAACAACAATTATCATGGTGATGGGAAGGGAGATCAGAGAAAGAACAAGTCACAAGATTAACAAAGGATTTTAGAATATTCCAGGCCAGTTAGCTCTGGGGTTAATAATCCAGGAGTCTGGACTCTATTCCTGTCTGGTTCATCTTCCAGGTCCAAATTTTGAGTAACAAGGGGTTGTAGTGGAAGAAGCCAGCACTGAGCCCCAGATGCCTCATCTGTAAAATAGGCTAACATGGTCCTCTCCCAGACAGGTCATGAAGGCAAAGCTGATGGTGATGAAACACATGGAATCTAAGTATTGCTGAATCATTGGGAGATGAGTCCTGCCAGTCCCTAATTCTTGTTCCTAAAGATGAGGTCCAGGGCCCACATTACCGCTCCAGAGACAGGGAGATGTGCAGCTTGGTAGCTGAGGGAGTGAGCTGGGCATTCAGAGTAATAACCTGCATGGAAAAAAATGGTCAGGTTACCGTGAAATTCAGCATAATGAGGCAAAAGGACATGTCCGCCTTGCAAAGAGTGGCCGACAGTGAATGTCCATCATCCAGCCCCTCCCTCACCCTTTCTGAGGCCCTACTGTGTATTATGTTTTGCACTGGACACTGGGGAGGTCATGTAAAGTTCCTGGTGTTCAAGAAACAGCATAAAATGTGAGGGCAACTGTTGTATCCAAGTAAATCTTGGGGCTGTGGAGCTTGGAGGAAGCACTCAGTTAAGCCCTTAGTGGAGGCAGAGGGACAGGAGAACCGGAATCTTGAAAGATGAGGAGTTATCCAGGGAAGCGGGGAAATGGTGCTCTGAACAGATAAAGGCAGGGAGATAGGGGAGAACTCCGAATAGACAAAGGCAGGGAGGTAGGATCTGCACAACCTCGACTAGCAGAGGCTAGGGTGTAGATGGGAAGGCCAAAGATGGGGCAGCCGGGCAGTGATTGTCAGAGTCAAGAGCTTGGTGACTGGAAGCCAGGACAGAGGGAGAGCAGGAGAAGGACCTGCCTCTGTCCATGTGTTTGGGAAAACTATTGGAGGGTGGGGTGGAAGGAACCTGAGGACTGTCTAAGAGAGAACTGAGCACAGAGGGACTGGAGAACAATTCCCAAGAGTCCAAGGGTGCAGAGTGGACAGGCCTCATGTCAGTTGGGTATGAGGTAAGGGAGTACATGGGACTCTAGGCAGCCCAGCTGAGGACAAGGGGCCCTTCCTATGCTATACAATGTGGGACTACCCCTCCTAAAGTTGAGAGGAATGGCCCTAGCAGCCTGAGGTGGGTCAGCCCCAACTCTAGGCCCATCTGTCAGCCACTCACCCCATTCAGCTCAAAGAGAGCTTCCGGAGTCCCTTTAGGGACATAAGATAGCACGTAGATGTCAGCTGGGATGGAGACTGTGGCCTTCTTGTTCTGCAGGATGACGGAGGGTACTTCCTTCACCCGCAGTGACAGCATGAGCTGCTGGCCTGGTGGCAACTTCCCCAGCGCCTGGAGAGAGGCAGGGCAGAGCATAGGATGGCTCAGGCAGTCAGCAGTCCCATGTCACTAACGTGACACCCTGAACCCCAGAAGCCTGTCGCTCTGCTCTGGTGGGGAGACACCAATCCACAGAAGCACTGTATCCTAACCCTCTGTCTCAGGGTCAAAGTCCTCACCCAGGCCTTTGAGGTCCTATGGGACCTGTCACTGCCCTCTTCTCAAACCTCACCTACCTCCACTGTCCTCTTCTTCTCTTCTCTGGCCTCACTGGCCACCTTGCTCACCATTCCCCTAGCCTACCTGGCAACTCCCACCTCAGGGCCTTTGCACTTGCTATTCCCACTATCTGGAATGCTCACTCTCAGATACCACATGACTCTAGGTCTCTGTCTCAATGCCCCCTCCTCAGTGAGGTCTTGACACCACCCTCACACTCCTAATCTCCCTTCACCACTCTCTCCCCCACTTCCTGTCACTGTTCATAGTCTACTAACTTATCTGTTTGGTGATTATCGCCACTCAGAATGGCAGTTCCTAAACACAGGGGCTTTTTGTATACGTCTCGCCTTTTCCCCTTCTGCATCCTCAGCACCTAGTGCAGGTCCTGAGCCTCAGTAGGTGCTTGATAAATATTAGCTAATTGACAGAATGAATTATAAGATTAGGAAATTCTGAGACATAGAATCGCCACCCTCAGGACGCTTGTATGATGAAATTTAGGGGACAAGCCCAGGCTCTCAGAGTTGCAGTATCATAAAGACAAAATCACCTACTTCGTCCTCATGCGTCTGCAGAATTGGGAGCCACAGAACCAAGCGCTGAGGTTCTGGTGCTTGGAGGGCAGTGAGTGGAGAAAAAAAGCTTCAGCCTCCAATGACAAGGCCCCAGTTGTTGCATCCACATATCCCTGCCCTTCCTTTTCTGCCTCCCCTAAAATTCCTCTGCTATGTCATACCCTGCTCAATGTCTGAACCTCAATCAGCCCTTGTGTGTGGCTTACCGTGAGTGCCTTTGACTAGGGACTCCCAAGAATCTGAGGCCCCAAGCACACCCCACCATGGCTGCTATGAGTCACCGCCTCCAAAGACGTATAGCACTTGTCTTCTGCTTCCCTAAACCCTGCTGTCCCCTCCACCCATTCCAGTGGAAGCTCAGGCCCTCTGGGCTTCTCCCCGACCTTTATTAGAATCTGTTGTCTCACAAGGAGCTTGTAGTAATCATTTCATCTTCGATATGAACTTAGGTTCTCACAGCTGGAAAGTGGCTAGTCCAACTCCAGTTGAACAGATAAGAGAGCTGGGGCCAGGCCCTGTTGGCTTATAACGATCGATGCCTACCAGTCAAATCTCCCTGACTCTTCTCCCTTCTTTTCCTTTCCTAAGGCCAGTACCTGGGTGGGTCATATCTCTGGGACAGAGAAAACCAAGACCATGATAAAATAAGGCAGCTGAAGGAGAGGTCTGCCAAACCCTGGTTTTGCCTCTCCAAGCAAATCTGCTATCAAGAAAAACCATGCATCAGTCACGCACACTTTAGTGTGAATTTGTAATCAACAATTTAAACACAGGCTGCTTGAAGAGCTGTATTAAGAGACTGTGGAGTTGCATTCAGGATCATCAGATTTGCCCTGATCAAAGCCTATACCTCTCAAACATGAGAGGGTCACTCACCTCAGGGACCAAAGCTGCCAGGTCTGTGGTTGTCAATGGGACATTGTTGGGAACCTGGACCCAAAATCAAATGGGAGGAGGTATGAACACAGCAATAGGACAGGAATCTCTCGTCACTCACACACAGAGTAGTTCTGTCCACACACAATACCAATTATACACATGTCCCTGCAAACACCCAAGTTCATTCTACCGGCCATCAATCAATGATTGCTCACTATATGACAGGCACATGCTAAGGGCTTTTCATGCCCCTGCTCACTTCACCTTTACAACAGCTCAAAGAAGTGGATACTATGATTACCTCATTTGACAGGTGGAAATACTAAGTCTTATGCCCAGGGTCATACATCAGGTAACCTTTTAACCAGGAGTCTTTTAATCTCTCGACCAGAGCTCCCAAGCTGAAGGCCCAAGGACCAAATTTGATCCCAGGCAATTTTGCCTTTTAGCCAGACAGTATTTTCCAAAACTAAAGATTTGCTTCCAATACTTATAAATCTGGAAATCTCACATAAACTTGCTAATTTCTGGCTAAAGAGTTAGAAAATGTGGTCACACTGATCCAGTACCTCCTCCCATCAAGTGGCAGCCACACATGAGATGGGACACAGGTTCCCCTGGTTCACCTCATTCTGCCACCTGGCCAGTCCTTGAACCCAAAAACTACACATGTCAACTTCTCAGAACAGACCTGCACTCCCAGAAAAAGCACACAGACATACTTGCTCCTGGTCAGAGGATTCCCAGACATTCAGCCAACACTCAGTTGTCACCCACTGTCCCCATTCCAGCGCCCCCTGCTGCCGCACTCACCTGCTTACTGGTGATGTCTATGTTGAGGGCACCATTGGTCTGCAGGAGCCCAAACACAGTGTTGAAGAGGTACAGTGGCACGGTCACCTGGGATGTGTGGTCCTCCTTGGGGGGGACCTTGACGGGCGCGGGGGGCTTGGGGAAGTCAATGATATCACCAGCTGCGCTCTTTATGATGGGCTGCACGTGCAGGAGACAGGATATGGGAAGGTCTCAGGGCTGCTCACCCACCAAGCCAAGACCTAGCATCCCTTGTGTGCCCCCTCCTCCCCAGCTTCAGGCAAAGTCTCCACAGACACTCACATTAATATCCAGCTCTATGTACTGGTTGGAGATGAGAGGCAGTGTAGCCAGAGAGAATTCCACGGACCCAAGAGCCCCAAGCGGCACCAGGCCTGCATGGGGCAGCAGTAGGGGAAGGGATAAGAGAAAGAATCCATGATAATAGCAAATCACATTTAAAGGAATAGCATCTATTTCCAGTTATCAAAATGCCCAGCACTGTGCTAAGTAAGGATCCACTTAAATATTTCATGCCATTGTCATTCCATTTTACAGATAAGAAAAGTGAGGCTCAAGCAAAGGAATTCACCAACCAGGGCCATCCAAACCAGAGGGACAAAGCTGGGATTCAAACCTAGGTCTGCCTGTCCTTCAGAGCTGGAGCCAGTAACCATGTTGCTGCCCTGCCTGTCTACTGTGACACCACAGACAGTGACATAGTAGCACCAAATCCCCTATCCTTACTCCACTGTGCCTTCCTAACCTTTCCAGAGTCCTCTGGTGAACATGAACTACATCTGAGTGTCCACAGGGCACAGGGAGACTGAGGCCTGCTGTGTCTTTCCGCTCCAGCTCTACAGGCCTCAGTCATCTTGCCTATTCAGTGAAGACGTCAGTAATCCGCGACAGATACACTGCAGGTGCTCAGTAAATGCTGGCCCGGAGCACTGACCTCAACTCAGGGTTCCACCATTAGACCTTCTCAAATTGGCACCCTCATCAGCGTGAGAAGGAAGAGACAGTGCCAGAGTTCTGCCCTTTTCCACTTCCTTTGGGATCCCCACCCCCTTGGCAATGGGAGGGAGGGGAAGGGAATGGGGTACAGAAAAAAGGGTTGGGTCTCAACTTACTCAGCGCACAACTCAGAAGCTCATTCACCACGCCAAGCACGCTGTCCACCACGGGGCAGAGCTATGTCGGAGAAGACAGACATGGCAAGAGAAACAAAAGTGAACCCCAGCTTGGCACAGCGGGCAGCTGCATGTCCTTTCAATGATTTGGTATGTGGTCCCAGGGACCAACCAAGGCAATGTGGAATGTGAACACTAGTGAGGGGCAAGGTATGAGGCAAGGGAGGAGCAGGAGTGCAAGCTTTGGCTTGAAATCTCAGAAGACAGAGTGACGGGTACATAGGGCCAGGGCCCCCAAGTCCTGCTTCCCTTGGTTGCATGAGCCCCATCAGGAAACCAAAAAATAATACTAGGGGCTGACACGTTTCAGAGGCTATCTAGGGTATAAGGACAAGGCTGTCTCTCAGAGGGGGCTAAGGTTCCCTCTGAGGTCTCAGGCCCCTCCTGCCAGGTGGGCATGGGGAGTCCAGAGCCCTAGGGTTCCCTGAAACTCCTAGAATTCAGGAGCCCCAGTAGACAACTCCTCACCTGGCTCTGTAGATTCCCCCACCCACACCACTGTGTGTTCACAGAAAACCTCTTTGCCAGGAGAACCAGGGAACCAACTTCCAGTTCCATGCGTATGGGGATCACAGAGTCAATTCCACAGTCCACCAGAATCCAGACACAGACCCTGAGAAGATAGGCAACTTGCTCAAGTCATACAGCTGTTTGCCAGAAACAGGAGGACTTTTAGAACCCCAAACCAGGGTCTCTGGAGTCAAGCACATTACAAAGTTGAGAGAAGAAGGCCAGAGATGCTGTGCTGGCCAGAGGCAGCAACCCCCCTTGGCGCCACCTGTGTATGACCTGCAGGAAGAAGGCTCCAAGGTGGCTGAATCCGCTTAATTGCACAAGAGAAGCCAAAGATCCAGATTGTTAAGAAAAATCTGCAATCTCTAAATGTTGGCAGTGAACTCTTATTTTAAAACCTCTTTCAGGCCACACAAAAACCGTCTTCCAGCCAATTTTCCCAAGGACCCGAGGAGTTAAGAGCTGTGGTTTGAACACACTCACACCCCTTTGTTGAAAGTCACCTGAGTGTTTGGGCAGAGGCCCCTGCTGGGAGCTTCCCACTTCTACTAAATGCCTTCAAGTCCCAGGAGGTTCTGCCAACCCTCTCTCCATCCCTGCCAGCCTCACAGCAGAAGTTCTTCCCAAGGACCAAGGGGGGTGAGGGAGCCCAGTGTGATGCCCCCTGCAAGCTGTGTGGCTCCAGAAAAGCCCTGCCCACTCCAGCCTCATCAAAAGCAGGGCTAAGCTAGGCCAACTTTTGTAAAGTTTGGTTTAATTATAATTAATTTCTGAAGGCTTAACTAATTACTGTGGCTGTTAACTGCCGTCGAGTTGGTTCCAACTCATGAGATCCTGTATAGTATTTCCAAGGACTGGCCGGAGGATTTGAAATACCTACAGTATGGTTCAAGGAGCTCTGGTAGCATAGTGATTACAAATCGGGCTGTGAACCTTAAGGTCAGCAGCTGCTCAGCGGGAGAAAGATAAGGCTTTCTGTTCCTGTAAAGATTTACAGCCTCGGAAACCCTGTACCGGGTCGCTATGAGTCGGAACCGACTCCACGGCACACAACAACAACAGTCTGGTTCAAATCGACATGGCAGTTGAGTGCTTATCCTGCAGCACCACACCAGGATTCATTAATGGTGGTGGTGTGCCGTGGAGTCGATTCCGACTCATAGCGACCCGGTACAGGGTTTCCGAGACTGTAAATCTTTACAAGAACAGAAAGCCTCATCTTTCTCCCACAGAACGGCTGGTAGTTTCAAACTGTTGACCTTGAGGTTAGCAGCCCGATTCATAACCACTACACTATTGAGCTGCTAACCAAACGGTTGGTAGCTTGAACCTACCAGCCACTCCACAGGAGAAAGATCAGTCTGGCTGTTCCCGTGAAGATTTACAGCCTCAAAAACCCTGTTATTAAGTGCCATGGAGTCATTTTGGACTCATAGAGACCCTGTAAAGGGTTTCAAAGGAGTTGCTGGTGGGTTTGAACCACTGATCTTGTGGTTCACAGTCCAGTGCTGATCCTATGGCACCATACCTATGGAGCAGTTCTATTCAGTTTTATAGGCTCTGAATACACAACTATGAGTTGGATTTGGTTTTTGGTTAATATACACATCATATATGATTTTCTAGATGTTAAGTGAATCACTTTGTTGTTGTTGTCAAGTGCCGTCGAGTTGGCGCCGACCCATAGTGACCCTGAACAGGATTTCCAAGGAGCAGCTGGTGAGCTTGAACTGCCGACCATGCAGTTCAAACTGACTTTGCAGTCCAGTGCATTAACCCACAACGCCACACCAAGACTCCGTGAATCACTTTAAAAGGAGTTCATTTCAAGCTAATTTCAAGAAAAATTCAAATCAATACAAGTGGCAAAAATAGAAATAAACCAAATTCTAAGTAGAACAGCTATATGGGATTCCCAAGGCTGTGAAACTTCATGGAAGTTAACTGCCACCTCTCTTTCCCACAGAGCAGCCTTTTTATTAGCAGCTGGGTGCTTTAACCACTGTGCCACCAGGGATCCTTACAAATAAAACAAGGGGGTGGGGAGGGACTTGAATTTGGGACCCAGTCCTTCTGGAGCTTAAATTCAGGACTCAGAGGCCTAGGGACCAGGCCCAGCGGTAGACACAAAGGTGGCAGCCCAGGGGACTGATGGGCAGGTCAGGATGGGGTTACCCAGGGGTGTGAAAAGGAAATGCAGCCTAATCCGGTTTTACATCAGGTTGTAGGGGGTAGTGTGGAGAACAGCCCAGGGGGAGGAGAGCAGACTTGGCCTGCTTGTGGGGGGCAGGAGGTCGGGCCCACACTCACCAGTCCCGGCAGCATTTTGAAGACTGTCTGTTCCACGATCCCAAAGAGTGGAGCAGGCAGCAGCCTGGACAGAGAGAGGTGTGAAGGGGGCATTACTGTGGGGGAGGCAGCACCAACCCGGATGATAGAGGACAGGGAAGGGTGGATGCTGGAGGCTCTGCATTTCTCCCATCTCCTCTCTTGGTGGAGACTAACTGGGGCTTTGGGTTTAAATGTGGCCATGGCCTTGGGAGTTCCTTCCCCAACTGGCTTCAGTTTCCCTATCTGCACAATGCTCATCTCAGAGTTGTTGCTGCAGATATTAAATGGAGCTTGGTCATTATACATTCAATCTGTGCTCAACAAGTCTTTTCCCCTTGTCTCCCCCAACATTTATTAACAAGTGACATATGTGCCTAGATAGCACCTGGCTTGGAGTAAAAGCTCAATAATTATTTGTTGAAGGAATGAATCAGTGAATGAGGGGGTGGTCTGAGGATGGGTCACATGTGTTTGAGATCATGGAGTACAGGGTTTGGCAGCAAACACATGATCACTAATACTGAGTACCAATACCACCTTGGTCTCTGCTCTCTCCAGCACAGCGGAGTAGAATGCAGCTACTGGAATTTAAGGAGCCCGGAGACTTGATCTGACACCGGCTTAGTAAGGTGCTCCTGAACTCACCAGCAACAGGAATATTTAACCTGGCTCACTCTGTTCTTAGGAACCAATAACAAGCCATCTGATTACCTCTTATTGCCCAGGGCCAACCCAGCAAAGACTGGGGTGATGGACAGTATAGGACACTCCATCTGGAGTGTAGATACTAATGGGGAGATGTATGGTGTACGGCAAGAGAAGGGGCAGGTGGGACTGGAGGTGGGTGTACAATGAATGCAGGGGGACAGTCTTGGACCTGTCTCTCCAGCCAGACTAGCCCCATCTCCATTCCTGATTCCGACTCCACCCCTGACTCAGACTCAACAGAAATATATGGAAGGGTGGTGGGTCCTGATGCAGAGCAACTCCCCAACATCAAATCCAGGCCCTCATTAAACAGATGGGGCACTCAGACTCAAATGGAGAAGGCTTCACACAGCGAGTCAGGGGCAGAGCTGAGCGGTCTGATGTGTCAGAAAAGGGAGGTGCCTGAGGGTGAGTGGCACAGACTCGAAGTGGATCTAGAGACCTTGTCTTTAGGGACCTGGGCAGGGTGGTGTAGGTTCGTGGAGATTCTAGGAGACACCCCAGGTACACGGGCCTGATGAAACAGAGTGAGTCCGGAGCGCAGAGCACAGGTTCCAGCCTGCTACTCACCCCGACAGCAGGCTGATGTGGCCCAGGAGCGTGCTGCAGCTCTTGAGGACGAGAATGGGCGTGCCTCGCGAACTCACTCCCAGCCCCACCCGCGACGACACGTTCACCTCCACCTCCAACTGCAGAAGGCCCCCCAGGGGGCTGCAAGAGCGGATACTGAGGGCGTGGCCAGACCCCGGGCCCCGCCTCCAGGACCTGGCCCTGCCGCCCTCCCCTGGAGCAGCTCCCAGTCCTCCCAGCCCTAGTCCCCTCAGCCTCACCACCCATTATGCAAATCCCTGCGCCTCTTCCCCACCTCCTCTGTGGGACAGTAGGATAGAAGTCCCTGGAGGAGCAATGGGTAGAGACCTTGAAGGGGCAGTAGTGGGACGGAGTCCTAGGGGAGGGGGGAGTCTCTGAGGAAAAATTATATGAGTGGGACAACAGTGAGTTGGCGTGAGGACAGTAGAGTAACGGTCCCCAGTGTGGCAGGCGAGTGGGTGGGGAGCAAGACAGTGAGGTTATCAGAGCAACTCACCCGGAGCCATGCAGGCCCACCTTGGTGTGCAGGTTCAGCTGCACCCCGAACCCCGGCAAGAGCCTCAGAGACACCTTGGGCAGTGTGAGCTCCTCGATCTTCAGCCTGGAGTGGAGGTCAAGGGCAGAGTCTTCAGTGCAGCCACTCCCAGACCAAATAAGGCCCAGGTTGTCTAGAGTGTGCATACACACACACACACACACACACACCCTTACCGCCTCTAACCCACAGAACTAAGTGTGGGTCATGGGTCAGTTACTTCACCTCTCTGGGTCTCAGCTTCCTCATCTGTAAAGTGGGCTGATGCTAGTACCCAATTACAGGGCTGTTTGTTGCAAAGACAACCTCAGATGATGCAGGTACAGCAGCTGGTCAGGCAGGAGCTCAGTAAAACCCACACCATCGTCATCTTCTCCTATGGCCTTAGTCCCAGTTCAGCCTCTGCCTTGATCATTTCTCCCCACCCCCCACTTAGGCTTACACAAGCAAACCCCAGAAAACTTGAGGCAGGGAAGGGGATACAAAGGGATTAGGCAGGATAGGGCTCTTTTGAGCAGAGACACTCTGGAGGTGAGGGATGGTGCCCAGAGAGACTAAGCAACTTGCCCCAGGTCTGGAACTGACCCCAGACCTGAAACTCAACCACATTGGCACACTCTATTGTTGTCTTGCCAGGCACACAGTGAACTTGATATCTTCAAACCCAGATCCTGAGATTCCCTGTCAAGCCCCGACCCCTTCCCCATCCACCCTGATCCCTCCACTGCCTGCTAACAAGTTAGAATTGTCAATCCTTTATTTAGTCATTGTAGCAAAGAGACCCCACCGCAGGAACTCACCCAGAAAGCTTCCCAACGACGCCAAAAACCCCTCCATTGCTCAGCAGGCCGCCTCCTCCGAGCAGCCCTCCTGAGCCCAGGATGCCGTGGTTCACAGATGTGACCGTCCCCAGCACATTCTGCAGAATGGGCCCCCCGACCAGCGAGTTCTGGATGGCTGCAGAGAGGGCGGAGATATGAAGGTGGACTGTGGCAGTTTCTCTGTTCCTCTGAGTCTCGGTGAGGCCCCATTTTTAATGGAACTGACCCAGAGGTCACATTCAAACAGTGGAACCCACAGAGTCTGTTCTGCAGGGCAGGCGGCCACCCACTGGCTGAGACATGGAAGATACTCAAAAAGTGTTTGAATAAAAAAAATGAACTGCAATGACAATCCCTTCATATTACAGATGGGGAAACTGAGTCCCAGAGAGGGGCAGGGACTTGTCCAAAGTCACACAGCAGTCACACTGGGTTGCAGCTGCCCTGAAACACTGAAGGAAGAGCAGAACCAGAGAGGCATGATTAAGAGGGAGAAGGCAACACCCCCCTCACCTGGGTGCACCCCTGGCCTACCTCTGTGAGGCCTGTGAGAAGAACAAAATGAAAGGGACTTCTCTGTGGAGGTGGGAGGATGATTCCCTTTGCTTATGATTCCATTTTCCATGAACTTCTTGAAGTTCTATCTATTCCAGCCAACCCCTTCACAAACTGCCCACCTCTGACTCACCTTTGCCGAGCTCATCCTTGTCGATCCGAGCGAGGGTGCCCACTGTCTCAAGCAGTCCCTGGCATGGAGTCATTAGACCCCAGAGAAGAAGCAGGGACCACACACCCAACATCATCAACCACACACCTATAAAGGAGTAGAACCAGGAGTTCTAAGACCCAAGCCTTATGCTTCCTTTCTTTCCCCTTCATCAACCTGGGGCTCCCCGTCCCACCTGGCACAGCCCAAGTCCAGCTTCACTCCCAGAAAAGCCCTCTCCATCCAAATGCAAGCCGTGCTAACACGTGTGCAGCACAGTAGAGCTTTCATCGCGTTCTGCTGCCTACAGTCAGTGTGCTCTTTTAGCTTTCCCCTCCTTGCATCCCATTTTATAGATGGGAAAACTGATCTAGAAAGAGGAACAAAGACTTGACCAAGGCCACAGAGTTGATCAGTGACCAGGTGAGAATTCAAGCCCGAGTCCATCATTCAGTCCGATGGAGTCGTGTCCAAGGTCTTCGGTTGAGCCTGGGCTGTTCTCCGGAGGAAGAGTTACAGAGGGGTGGCCCCTTCTAAGACAGCAAGTCAGGAGCTTTATTTCCTGGACCTGTTTCCCTGTTGGCTCACAAGGCCATTTCAGAAGGCGTGGCTGATAACACTTAGACTTAACATGTCCTGTCATACTGTCTTTTCCTTCCCCGCCTCCAGCTCCAATGTTGTTGGAGAAAGGAATGGGATGGGAAGCAAGAGATTTTTTTTTTTTTTTTTAAGCCAAGAATCATGACTAATTTACTAATTTCAGAGAGTGGGATATTTCATTATGGAGTCCATATCTGCCCACTCAATCACACATCCATGTATCCCCACTTGTATCCCTGCTTAAACCCTTCAACGGCCCCTGCTGCTCTTGGGATAAAACCCAAGAACCTTGCCTTTACCCACAAGACCCTTGCGTGCCTCACTGACCTCCTTAGTTTTCCTCAAACATGCAAAGTTCTTTTCCACCTCAGGACCTTTGCACATGCTTTTTCTTCTATTAGGAAGGTTCTTCTCTTGGATCTTTGCATAACCAACTCTTCATCCTTCTGGTTCCAAATAAATGTCACCCCTCGGAGAAGACTCCTTCTTTCACTTGACTAAAGAAGGCTTCCTATCACTAAACATCACCCAGAGTGTTTCTTCTAAGGCACGTATCACAGTTTGCAAGTATGACTTATTTGTTTGAGTCCTTGTACATCATCTCTGTAAGCTCCCACAGGACAGGAACTGGATCTAGGACCTCCTACATGGTTGTGCATTCTATATGTTGGAGGAGGCACCTGAGAAGGGGCTATTGTTGGTGGTAGTTATTTGTTGTTACATGCCGTCAAATCAATTCCAACTCATAGAGACCCGATACAGGGTTCCCAGGGAGCAGTTGGTGGGTTTGAACTGCCAACCTTATGGTTTGCAGTCCAGTGCTCATCCTACGGCACCACACCAGGAATCTGTTGTCATTGGTAGTTGCTGTCAAGTCATTTCCAACACCTGGTAACCCCATGTGTGCATAGTAGAACTGCTTCTTAGGGCGTTCAAGGTTGTGACCTTTTGGAAGATCAATCAGGTCTGTCTCCTAACTCTTTGGAAGGGTTTGAATCGCCAACCTTTCTGCCAGTCAACAGGCACTTAAGCATTTGCATCACCCAGGGACCCTCTTAAAAAGAAAAGCGAGGATAGAATCCAGCTGCACTTCACGCTCCAGCCATTTGCCCTGGTGCAAGTTGTGTCTGCCTAAAGAGGGCACCTTTTCCTCATTTGCACAAAGGTGCCTTACAAATGAGCATCGTGACCACCAGTAGCAACCTTAGCCATTTCTTGTCTTATTTCAACCAGGTTCATTTCAAAGTGGCTACCTAGAGTCTCTAGGTCTCTCACAGAAGGAATTGTCCTCACAATGGGGGGACCAGTCAGTTTCTGTGGCTGACAGAAAACCAGGCCCCCCTCAAGCCCTGTCATAGCGTCTGTACCCAGCCCCTGCAGTCCTTCCATGACCTTGTACAACAACTTTTGCCTCTTTCTGGGTCTTGGTTTTTCCATCTGTAAAATGTTTTGTTTTGTTTTGTTTTTCCCCTCCTGTCACCCACTTCCCTCCTTGTTGTTGTTAAATGCAGTTAAAGTAGGTTCCAACTCAGAGAAACCCTGTACAGGGTTTCCTAGGTGCAGCTGGTGGATTTGAACTGCCAACCTTGCATTTTAAGCCAACCTTTCAGTCCAGTGCATTATCCCACAGCACCACACCAGAACTTCCTTCCTAGGGATGAATTTTATCTGTGCTCATTTTTCAGGTGGGGCGGCAGAAAGATCATAGGATCAAGAATGGAGAAGAGGGACGACGCTGGGCTGTTCAGGCTGCCTTACCCGCTCCTGCAGCTACTCAAGGGGTAGGTAGAGGCTCCCAACTGCTTGTTGGCTCCTCAGCCCACCAGTGCTCGGGGGCAGTCCTTATATGCCCACAGCAGCTCTGGGGACACAAAGGGGACATGCCCGCCAGAAACCCGTCAATGTGTCACATCAAGAAAATTGTGGTCTGCCCTGCGGGCCTGGACTAAGCCTTCCTTTTGGGGGAAGAGCGGCAGGGAGTGAGGGGCCTGGGGTCAGTGCCCAGAACTGGGGGCTGGGGTGGGGCTCTGCCACCTTCCTAATCAGCCACACCTATTGGGTCTCCCTCAAGACTTCCCTTAGAGCCACCCAAATGGCACAGAATCCAACCCACTCCTCCCCGCCTCCAACTGAGGCCTGGCATGGAAAGGCCCTCTTAGCTAAGTGGGGAGGGACACCAACTCCACCCCCACCTCCCAAGTGCTAGTGCCCCCGGACACCAGAGTAGGCTGCTTTTGTCCCCTTCCAGAGGCGGGTCCAGATGATGGTGGTTAGAAATCATTCATTCATTCTCTCATTCTGCAACAGATACTTATGACGTTCCGGGGATACAGCAGTGTGCAAGGGACAAACCCCCAGCCCTCAAGGAGCAATTTAAAATTTTCTAGTAACAACATTCAAAGAAAAGGCAAAATAAATAAATAAAATAAAACAGACAAAATGAATTTTAATAGAATATTTTATTTCATCCAGTATGCTCTGTGAGACACTGTAGAATGATCACTGGACTGCCACCACAGGGGCTGTGGTTGAAACCTACCAGTGGATCCTCAGAATCCCTGTAAAGGGTCGCTATGCAATGGAACGGACTCGACGGCATTCAACATGTCCAAATAATTGTCGTTTAGCATGTTGTTGTTGTTGTTATTGTTGTTAAGTGCCGTCAAGTCCGTTCCAACGCATAGCGACCCTGTATAGGGTTTCCCAGGAACTTCCGGTGAGCTTGAATCCCCAACTTTGCTGTTCAAACCAACGTTGCAGTCCAGCGCATTAACCCGCAGCACCACACCAGGACTCCTATAAAATTACTAATTAGCTACCTTCCATTCTTTTTCTTCATATCCACTCATACTAAACCTTCACTTGGACTCTACATTCCAAGCAATTGACCGTCATGTTGGACAGCGCATCTCTAAACAAACAATTGATCTTAAGGACAGAGTCGCACTGCCCCATATGGTTTCTGAGACTGTAAATCTATACAAAAGCAGACTGTCCCATCTTTCTCCCACTGAGCAGGCTTGAACCTCTGACCTTGTGGTTAGCATTTAACCCACTGTACCAAGAGGAAACAAATAGCACACTGTACAGTGAGTCAGAGCTGATGAGAAAGGAGAACAGAGGAGGGGGGCGTGGGGGGCTCCCATCTTTCAATATGGAGGCCAGGGATTACCTCATATTCAAGCAGGGGGTGATGTCGACCTAGATGAGTCAAGTGGATGTTTGTGGAAGGACGTTCAGGTAAAGGGAACCACAACTCCAAAGACCCTAGAGTGGGGAATGCCAGGAACAGCAAGAAGGCCAGTGTGGCTGGAGGGGAATAGGCGAGGGACAATGGGGGAGGTAGGGCCAAGGTGAGGGGCACCACAGGTTACTTTGCCAGCACTTTGGCTTTTACTTTCAATTCTGCACAATTCTGCAGGTACTGGCTTTGACATCTTTTCCTCCAAGAGACCTTCCCTGACCCCCAAACTGGGTGAGATGGCACCTCGGCTCCCAAAAGCCCCCTGGGATTCCCTCTCTTGGAGTCTGCGAATGCTGAGTAGTAGCTGTGTTTCTGTGTTTGTCTGTGGGTCTGTCGCATGCATGGGGTCTGGAAGGAAGTGGGAAGATGAGGTGGGCCAGACCCTAGGTAGCATGTTCCTCCCTTCCAAGAGGTTAGGCTGGATAGTGATTAAGATGTGGCAAGAGTAGGTGCAGGGGTGGTATTTGGCTCATTCACCCTGATAGTCTCTGAACCCTAACCCTACAGTGTTCAACAATTCTGAGGGCTGCTCAACCAAACCACACCTTTTTTTTTTTTTTAATAAATACACTTTCAAAGAAAGTTTTATTACACAAAGTATGTACAGGACTAGACACAACTCAATAAATTTTTACAAATTGAGCCCCCCACCAGGTGTTCCCTCGAAGTCACTGTCCCCAAGGTAGCTGCTACCTGACTTCTGACAAGTGGATGAGCTCAGAATGTTCTTGCCGTTCAGATAGATGGACTCACACAGCATGCAAACACTCTTGGAGTATGGCTTCATTCTTACTTTTTTGTTGTTGTTCAATCAAGTTGGTCCCCAACTCATGGTGATCCCATGCACAACAGGATCATCCATTGTGATCTACAGACTTTTTGGTGGCTGACTTTTCAGCCTTTCTTCCTAATCCATCTTAGTCTGTCTGAAAGCTCTGCTGAAACCTATGCAGCCTTACAGCAAATGCAAACCTCCACAGACGGGTGGTTGGTAACTGTGCCTGAAACACACTATCTGGAAACTGACCCATCACTGCTTTTCTCTCACACATTGTTGTTGTTAGGTGCCATCAAGTCAATTCCAACAGATACCAGCCCCATGTGACAAGAGTGGAACTGCCCAATGCGGTTTTCTGGGCTGGGGTCCTTACAGAAGCAGATTACCAGGTTCTTCACCCATGGAGCAGCCAGGTGAGTTCGAACCACCAACCTTTCAGTTAGCTGTCAAATGCTTAACCCTTTGTGTCACCAGGGCTGCAGTCCACCCATTCGGCATGTGAAGAAATGGTTTGTTCATTTTCTTTCTATATACTAGACTGCAAAGCCGTTTGAACTGTAAGATCAGTGGTTCAAGCTCATCAGCTGCCCCTCAGGAACCGACTCAGTGGCACTTAACAACAACAACAATTCCATTGGAGTCCTGGTGTGGCACTATAGGTTAATGGGCTGGACTGTAAAGTCAGTTTAAACCACAAGGTCAGTGGTTCAAGCTCACCAGCTGCTCCTTGGAAACCCTATACAGGGTCACTATGGGTTGGAAGTGACTCTACAGCACTTAACAACAACTCCAATGTGTGATATGCCCCCACTTGCTTATCCATTCTCCCGGGTAGAGATGGCTGGCCTGTTTTCAGTTGTTGGTTATTATGAATGAAGCTGCTATGAACATTTCTGCCCATTCTGTATGTGAACATATGTTTTTATTTTTCATTTCTCTTGGTTAAGAACTTAGGAGTGGAACTGCTGTATCACAGTAGTGTATGTTTAGCTCGGCTGGATACTGTCCAAGCTCCCCAAAGTGGCTGGACCATTGAACACTGCTACCAACAGTCCATCCAGGAGAGTTACCACGAGTCCACAGCCTCGCAGTACTTGGTACTGCCAATACTTTAAAAACATGTATTTCAGAAAAGAGGAAAGAAAGCTAACACCACATGTTTATTGAGCACTTATTATGTTCAAGATACCTAGCATGTGATAATCCATCCAATCATTACAACCAGCTGGGGAGGGCAATGCCATTATTTCCCCATCTACATTTCAAGAGCCCAGACTCAGCAAGGGGAAGCAGTTTGTCCAGGAGCACACAGGAGTCCAACCAGGCTGGCTGGCTCTGACCCTTAACCACCCACAGTGTAAGCCTCTGCTTCCTCATCTAGGATTGTAGGAGTCTAGTGGGCTAGAATCTTCAGTGTTGTTTCCTCAGGGGGTGGGGTCATAGTGCAGGGCTTCCCATGCCACCTTAGCCCCCACTGGCCATTGGTCATTTAGCCAACGGAAAATCCAGAGTAAACTGAACATTCAAAGAATCAAATTAGAGGTCAGAACACCCAACCCATCTCCCATTGCACAGATGAGGTCCAGAGAGGAGCTGTAGCTTGTACGAGGTTACATAGTGTGCTCCTTGGCCACGTCAGTACAAGGACCCAGGTATCCTGGTGCAAACAGCTGTGCCTTGATTACCCCTTCTGCACACTGGGTCTGAGGAGGGTGCTGGTGAGGTTGTAGGGAGCCCTGAGGGTGCTGTGTGAACATTCAGGGCAGGGGCGGGGTGGGGGCGTCTCTGGCATGCCCAGGGTCGGACGCCAGCCACCCATGGATTACTTAGGCGCCAAGCCTGTGTTAAGGCTGCCATTGTCCCCGAGCCTGGGGAGATGATGGTGACGGGATTACAGTCAATAATGAGGAACAAGGGGATGGCGCTGGCATCCGGGCTGAGGCAAGAAAAGACTCTCCCTCTTCTGTGGCATGGGCCTGGGCCAGACTGGGTGGGGCCAATCTACCAGGGTCCCTTAAGTTCCGGGAGTGTCAAAACAGGAACATGCATGAGTGTATAGACAGAGACCCACCTGCATGAAGAGATCCACCAGATCCCCCACATACAAAGACTCACCTCATGGGGCCACAGATAGACTGACAGGGTACATACAGATACACAGACACATACCACCATCCATACCTTCCAGGGCTTGAGTGCCTACTGATCTTAGACGCTACCTCAACACACATTCATTTCCGTTCTAGATTTTTGTTATAATATTCTAGCAAATGACATGGATTTTCAGGGTCTATTTATAGTACATTTATTTGCCAAGGGAGTCCATTTAGTGTAGGCCCTAGGAGGGGTGATGGGGAAGATAGGACAACTGTCAGGGAGCTGATCTTCACACAGGAGTCCTCTCTGAGATACAGGCCACAGACAGGTAGACAACAGACATTCAGACATAGCTCATCATATCAAACCTCCACACCTGGAGATGCAGAGCACAGCAGGCCATCTGGACACTGAGACAGTTCACACACATGAACGTTGGCATGTGGCCATGCAGCTGCAAGCCACACTCCACCATGGAACACCTCACAGTAACATGGCCTCAAAACCCACATGTGGCTAGCCTTTATTGATCACATGTATGCTAGGCGCTGTGGCAAGCTCTTCCATGATCAGACTCACAACAAGACAACTCTCACAACAGCCCTGAGGCTGGCACTGATATCATTCTTACATTATAGATGAGGAAACTGAGGCTCAGAGAGACCAAGTGCCTTGCCCAAAACACACAGTAGCAAAGAGGCAAAACCAGGATTTGAATCCAGGCAGGCTGGCTCTGGAGCCTGGATTCCAAGGGCAGCTCCGTCCTAGGGTTTGCTAGGTGGCCTCTAGTCAGTCAGTCTGCCTCATCTGTGAAATGGGGACAGTTCTTACTTGCCTCCGCTGTTATGAAGATGAAAGGAGCCAACAGGGAGCTCTCTGCAGAATTGGACTCCCTGGGAACTATGCTGTCCTCATGTTACTCAGAGCTGAGGGTACATGGGAGCCAGCTAAGGTGGGGGGGATGAGCTTTACAACTTGCTAAACTGAGTGACCTTGGGCAGCGGAAGGCAAAGGGCCTCCGGGTGACTCCATTTCCTGACCTAGAATATGGAGATGTTGCTCTTGTCCACATAGGGTTATTGTATGGATGAAATGTAATGATTTGCGTAAGGTCTTGAGTTCAATATGATCAAGCCTGCTCCCAAAGTTGTGACTGACAGCCCTCCAGAACCCCAATTGGTCTTAGACCAAAAAAGCCCACTGAAGGGGAAGAAAAGACACATGTCCATTTGCCATAAATAAAGAGGCAGAAGCACCAAGTGTTTGTAAGGGCCTTTCTCCTGTTTATTGGCAAGGCCCTAATCCAGGCCCGTTTCATTCATGCTTCCGCAAAGAAAACAGCCACCGGTGGTAAGGCGCCAGACCCACCCCACTCCAATCATGAGGCACCCCCTCCATGGGGCACAGTCAATTGGTGGTGTCCGAGCAGCTGGCCAGCAAGTTCTTCCACGGTCATTCAGACTTCAAATTCAGCACCAGGCCATTCTGGCAGGAAGAGAGGGCCAGCGTTGGGTAGGGGCAATTAAGGACCCACCCAGTCATGGGGATAGGATGGAACTGAGCCCAGTTCCAGGAAATAGAAATCCGTGTTGTGTTGAAGAGCAAAGTTTGAACAAGACTTGCCCTGTCACCCTGGAGAAGTCCCTTTACCTCTCTGTGCCTCAGTTTTCTCAAATGGGAACAAACGCCCCTACCTCCCAGAGTGGAGGGATAGCATGGAGCAGGTCTCATTGAACCCCAAGGTGAATGGCTAGCCTTTAAAAGTTCACATTTACTGAGCACTTACAGTATACCTATAGTTGAATTATCTCAGTGAATCATCAAGACAGCCCTATGAGGTCAGCACCCAAAATATTATTACTGTTTCATGCACAGAAAATATGGAGATAAAAAGAACTAAAGTAATTTGCTCAAGATGATTCCCAAGGGGCCCCTAGCCAGGGTGGGCCCCTCCCCTCCCCAGCCTGCCCTTCAAGTTTGTGAAGTCAGTTTGAACCACAAGTTCGGGTGTTCAAACCCACCAACTGCTCTTTGGAAACCCTATGTTGATTGGTTCCCTTGAGTCAATCCCAACTCATAGCAACCCTGTATAGGTTTCCTGAGCAACTGGCGGATTTCAACCTCCCTTCTTAAAGCCCAGTGCTTATCTGGGTCAGAACCAACTCAACGGCACTTAACATCTTAACTTGCTCATTGTTATTGTTGTTGTTAAGTGCCGCCAAGTCAGTTCTGACCCATAGCGACCTATAGGGTTTCTGAGGAGCAGCTGATGAGTTTGAACCACCAACCTTGCAGTTCAAACAGCTTTGCAGTCTGGCGCATTAGCCCACAGCGCCACACCAGGACTTCCATTATCTGATGGCAATTGATATGCCCTCCCCAGCCCCTCCTCACCTCCACTATGTCCAGTTCAGTTCTATTGTAATTCATGCCCAAAAAGTCCGGGAGTGGGAACCCAACCTGGAGCACATCTGAGAAATACCGAAAAAGAGTCATCTCAGCGTCTTGCTCTGCAATTGATTAAGAAATGGCTGCCTGGTGCAGAGTGGTGGGAGATAGTACACTGATCAGTTTGTGATGTCTTCCTGGTACACAGACAAAACATAAGCCTGATCATTATGTACTGTTCCAGGTCTGGGTTATGGGGTCAAGGTCAGAGTGCAAATAATGGAAGAACCTTTGTCCCATAAGACTGCATTAACCTCAGAGATCCAGCGATGGCCATCCATTCCCTTTTAATCCCCCTCCCCATCCTGAGACGGGGTTTTGAGACCACCAAAGTGTCAACCCTTCCTGCTAGGAGTGTTTCTTGGCATCAGCAAAATCAAAGCCTGTTGGAGCCTTCACCATTGACGACTGGGACGTAGGCCTCTTGGAGATAGTCAGTGATGAAGCCAGTCAGTCCCTGCTCCTGGGAGGGAGAGAGAAAGTACTCATGATTCCATAGGATAAGCACTGTATTGAGAGCCATAGGGTTGGTGGTTCGAGTCTACCAACTGCTCCACAGGAGAAAAATCAGGCTCTCTGCTCCTACAAAGATTTTAAAAGCCTCAGAAACCCTATGGAGGGTCACTATGAGTCAGAAGCAATTCAACAGCTCTTAACTACAACAACCATCCAATTAATTTCAATTTAATTCATTTCAACAATTTTTCCAGCCTCTGTTTGATGGGCTTGGGGACCACAGTAATGAATAGTGTTGTTGTTGTTATTAAGTGCCATCAAGTCGGTTCCGACCCACATAGGGTTTCTGAGGAGCAGCTGGTGAGCTTGAACCGCTGACCTTGCAGTTCAAATGGCTTTGCAGTCGGGCGCATTAACCCACAGCACTACACCAGGATTCCAGTGAATATTAGAAACATCAAATAAGTTGTCCAGCCATGGTCAACACGGGACCTTACCCTGGCTCTGTTTGACTATAGGCATATGCTCTTCCCCACGACTTTGTCCCTGTTTAGGTGACACTTGGGGCTTTGGGTCATGGTGCAGAGGGATAGGGCAATTCATGAGCCAGTAGGGCTCTGTGGAACACACTCCTGCTCCCACAGAAAACTGTTGTCCCTGTCATTCATTCACCTCTCTGTACCTCCACTTCCCTGTCTGTGAAAATACTCTATAATAGCACCTCTTCCCAGGGCTTCCAGGTGGCTTAAACGAGATTGCACAAAGCAATTATTGTTGCTCTTAAGAGCCTTAGAGTTGGCTCCAACTCAGAGCACAGACTAAAATCTCATTAAGTGTTGTTATTGTTAGCACCTGCTGGAGTCAGAGTCTGTAGTGGGTCCTGAGGCTGCAGAGACAAGTGAAATAAAAACAGATTGGCCAACGAAGGCCAATCTAAACTGCCACTGCCCGTGATCATGTTTTTCAAATCAATCCAGATTCTAGCTAGCAAAGGAAATAGAGACTCAGAGAGGACAAGGGATTTTCCCAAGGCCCACCATGACCTTGCTCTATTCACGCTGTGTTCGGTTCAGGTTCCCTTCCCTGAAGCCCTAGGGTGCAATAGGCCCAGTCTTGCCCCAAAGCCAGACCAAGTAGAAGCACTTGGAGCCCTTACATTGAAAGCGCCAATAGATGAGGACTTCCGGGACAGGCTCAGTAATCTGTGGAGGGCAGGGCAGGGGAAACAGGGAGAAAGGGTGGTCAGAGCCAGGGCCCCTGCCTTTGGAGAAAGGGAATCCCAACCACCTTGAGCCCTCCCTGATGCAAAAGTCCTCTCTGCAGACCAGGTGCTCATAAACCTCTGCTTGTCTGCACCACCTTTCATTATAGCCCCTCCTGTTTCCCTGAGTTCTCCTGTGCCTCCTGTCCTTGTCCACCCCAGGCCGGGTGTGCAAAGGTTTGTAGCCCAATGATGGTCAGTCTCAGGTCTGCACAGGCCACCCCTTGCCCCTTCTCTTGCACAGCAACAGAACAAGTCATGTGACAGTGGTCATTCAGTGACTCTACTGTCCCAACATCTATTTTCTAATCCAGTAACACATCTTCCATTTTCTAGTCTCATTCCAAAGTATTCAGATGAGACTGAACCAGGTGCCCCAGAATGAGCACATGACCAAGTCTTGGCCAATCAGAACATCCTATCGCCTAGTCATGGTGATTGTCTTAGGGCTGGGCATGACTCAAGCTAAACCAATGAGAATTAGTCTTGGTAATTTTATTTGAACCATTGAACATGTAGGGGAACAGGGATGTCAGTGTGGAACAGCAGGCTCCTTCCTACCTGTTCAGAGAGGTGACCATCTGCAGCCTGTCCCCATGCACTGAGTACTGGATGTTCAGGTTGAAGTGCTGGGATGAGGAAAAGGCAGGGAGAAGACAATAGACCCCCTGATTTTACCATCTTCCCAGGACAACTGCCTCAGCCAACACAAAGCATGGTCAGATGGAATCCAGGTGTGAGTTCTTTAGTTTTAGGGACTAAACCCACAGTCTTCCTACACCCCAATCCCTGGTTCCTTATCCCACCTTTACCTGGTCCATGACAGCACCCCCAAATCACTGACCCTGATTGCAGGTCCCTACACACGCCATGTTATACCTGCAGGCCTTTGCACATGCTATAACCTCTGCATTTCCAGCCTCCCTAGTGCCAGCTGTTGGTCAGACTCTGCTCATCCTCCAAAACATAGCTCAGGCATTGCCTCAGTTGGGAAGTCCTCTGTGATTTCCTAATATGGATTTGGGGGCCTCTCTGGGCTCCCGGGGTGGTTGTTGTTGTTAAGTGCCATCGAGTTGGTTCCAACCCATAATGACTCTGTATAAGGTTTCCGAAGAGCGGGTGATGAGCTTGAACCACCCACATTACATTAACCCACAGCATCACACCAGGACTCTCAGGGTACTCTAGGTGAACCTTTCACAGCCTATATAGATGGTAAAGAACACTGGAAGGAGGTGGGGTGGAAGAGAAAGGAGAGAGAAGAGGGAGAAAAGAGGAACTAAACCATCACTCCTCAGTTTGTTCTTTCAAGCCATTCAGAAGTTCTATGGGTCCGGCATCAGGTGATAGTGCCTAGGAGATTAGGACCATAGGACTGGGATTAACCAAGAGCCCTGCAATCCATTATTCAATCTCAGCTAAAATCCCTTCCTCGGGTGCTGTGGGTTAATGCGTTGGGCTGCCAAATCAATTGAGTCACAAGGCTGGAGGTTCAAGTTCACCAGTCACTCCTCGGAAACCCTATACAGGGTCGTTATGGGTCAGAACTGACTCCACAGCACTTAACAACAACAACGATTTTGATGATCCACAAGGATGGGACTAATAGGAATCAAGTTCCACACTCACAATTTCCAAGAGAAAGAGGGACGAAAGAACCTTGCCCTTCCGCCGAGTAGCTGACATCTCTAAGGTACCATGGAGGTGCAACTGACTCTTGCCTGTCTTCATGGTGACCTTGGGGGGCTTGTTTATCTTGATCTTGGTTGCCAAGTGCTTCGACTTGTGATAAGCATGAGCCACCTACAGAAACATTATAAGTCGCCTCAGGGCCAGCCCTCAAACTGATGGCTTCAGTTGAAACCAGAAGTCTGTCAGGAAATAGGCAGTTTTTGCTTTGGACACAAGATATACCTAATTTTTGCCTTGGACACTGGGATGTGTCTACCAATACATAGAAGAAACAAAACTCACAAGATGGCCATTTCTATATCAAACATAAAAAGTACAATGTGCAAAAGCTGAGTTGTTTCTGTTTATGCTAAAGCCACAAAGTACTTTCTGGAGAAATCGTGATACTTCCATGTTGGACAGGGGTATGTGGCACTGAAAAGCTGCATCTGAAGCTCCTTAACCCACCAGCTGGAGGAGAACAGGGCAAGGAAGCTCATGGTGATCATGGGTGGTTGAGACACTCACTTCAGGGATGAAACCAGCAAGTGTCTTAGTGGTTTGTGGGGGCAGCTGACCAATCTACAAAATAAAAGTCAAGGTTAGAATTAATGATGCTTTCCCTGATCCATCCTAAGAAACAACTCCTCTAACTCACTTAGATATACCCTTTGAGATTCCCTTCATGCAACACTTATCACTTAGAACTAACTCAATGCTTAGCTAGACAGTGAACTCCTGGGTGACCAAGACTGTGGCTTACATGTTCCTATGCCCTCAGATTTCAGCACATACTCAAATGCTGGGACTATGTCCTTGGGTGAGTAAGCAAGCCGATGGATGGGAGAATGGGTGGATGGGGAGGTGGTGGAATGGAATGATAAATCAATGGGAGAATGGATGGAAGAATTGTAGAATATGGGTGGCAGGTGAATGGATGGGAGGGTGAGTGGATAGAAGAACAGACAGATGGCTAAATGAATGGATGAGTATGAGAATGAATACTGGAGAGTTGTGGGGGTAGATGGGTGGGTATATGAGTGTTTGGATGGTAAATAGAAAATGATAGATTCACTAACTCAACAGTATACAATCTTGCTCTGGGTGTTGTGTGAATGGCATAAAGGGACGGCTGGATGCTAGTTGGAAGGAATAATATAGCCCAGGCAGAGAGAAGTGGATGGATGGGTGGATGAGGGTTAGATGGATGGATGGCTACTGCATGGTGAATAAACAGCTACTTGTTTGGACATTTGGATGGATGGGTAAATGACAGAAACATGGACAGAGGAAAATGGGTGATAGGATGAACTGATGATAGGGACCCAAACCAGTTCTGGCATCTCCCAATCCTGGGGTCGCACACAGCTCCAGGATAATTCTTAGAATAGGGAAGCCAGGCAGGGACTGTCATTACAGGAGACAGTGCAGACAGGGGAGGGGAGACCACTGGGCAGCTCACCTTTTTGTCCCGGATTTTCACGTTAAAGGACTTCTTCAGGAGGGTGAGCTCAGCTGTGAGGGAGGTGACTGAGAGCAGCAGCTGTGAAGACCCTTCAATGTAGTCCTTGGGGAGTCTGAGCTCCTCTCCAGCATCAGAAAGTATGATGGTGTTTCCCTCTTGCTGCTGCACCACAGGCTGTGGGGCAGAGGCAGAACCACACTCAGTCTCAGCCTTGAGGGACTGCTGTTTGGCGTGGGTCTCAGTCCCCCACATTCATTGGACACAAACCAACCCCCAAATCATCAAGTCATTAAATATTAGAGCCAGAGTAGGCTACAATCGTCCAACCATCTCAGTGTACAGATGGGTAGACTAGGCCTGAGAGGATGAGAGGGCATTCACTATCCACTGGCAGCCCCTCCCAGGATTGCTTGGGTAACCTCAGTTCATCTGATGCTGACTTTTGAAGTCCACATTTATCCAGAATCTGTTTTCTGTTTTATTTTTAGGAGACAAAGGTAAGTGGAAAACAGCCTGGGGTCTGTAAGAATCAGATGGGAGAGAGACTTTACAAGAAAGTGTAAAGTTAGCAGTTCCCGAAATCAGCTCAAGGAACCCAGGGCTAGCGTATAGGACAGAGAGAAGGAGAAGGCCCCAAAGGCAGGTTAAACTCTCATGAGGGCCTGGGTCAACCATGGACGGAGACGCCCACTCACCCTCCAGCGCTGCTGCAGGCAGCTCTCACCTGGAGCGGTGAACCTAAGACCACAGCTCTCTAGTGGTCTGGATGCTTACATTTAAGTTCACTTGGATGTAGCTGGCTGTGGTGACCGGTATGGATGACAGGACATATTTGACAGTGCCCACCTGGCCCACGGACATGAGGGCTGTGGGAAGAGGAAGGTTCCACTCAGAAAGCTGCCAACCCCAGGGGTAGCCCATAGAAGGCCACCTGAGTTTGGCCTCTGTGTTCCAACACAAGCGGGTTAATATTTCTGGGCTTCATCTCTTCTGTACAAAGGAGACCTCAGTATCTGGCCTGGATAATCCTCCTCCCATCCTTCCTGAGTACAGAGTCTGAGCATTCCCCAAGGGTACCGCAGCTCAGATCTCATAACAGACCAGCCAGATCAGGATGATTGGATCCATTTAACAGATGAGTAAACTGAGGTTCAAAGAGTGAAGTCAGTGACTTGTCCCAGGCCACACTGCTGGGACATGACTCAATTTCTTTAGTCTCAGCAGTTGTGTTGTGCTCTCCCCCACACCAGTTCTATGGAGCCTGAAATGATTGAGGTAACAAGCCCCCTTGGAAATGAGAAGCCACATGTCACCACCATCAGGATTGCTCCATGGGGTGCAAGGCTTATAGATGAGCCCGCTGTTGTGCTTGATGTCTCAAGGGGAAGGGTGGAACAGTGGATGTAGGACTGAGAGACAAGGACCCTAAGTTTCAGACTTACCATATGGACATTTGGAGATGGGCACCTTGACCTCACACTTCCTCTAGTCCCCTGACCAAGCTGGGAGCAGGCACTTGAATGGGGAGTGGGGCATCAAAGACCAGAAATCCTAATATCCCTGTGGAGTGGGCTAGGGAATGGCTGAGGCCGCACTCACCACTCAAGTTGGCCCACTTCTTGTTCACGTATACCAGGACTGCATCAATAGCTGGACACATCTGGAAGCAGAGACTGTGCTGGGCTGAGGGGGGCCCTGCGTGGACGACCACACCCCTTCCAGCTAAATGGTACTCCATGAGGAGTCCCAGGAACTCTGGTAGGATAGGACTGATGGGCAAACTGAGGTCCCACATCACACAGACAGTCAATGGCATAGCCTGGACTAGCACCCAAATCTCCTAACTAGAAGTCGCTAAGTTGGGGGGTTCTCAGTCTCCTGGAAATGGTCATCTAAGCAAGATTGGGAAGGTGGGCTGTGCAAGCCATTATTCTTCCTCCCAAACTCATGGCAGATGTCACTAGACAACCATGGCACCTTCCCGCACTGAACCAGCCACGGCCTCAGATTCCTTCTCACCAACACACCATTCAGTCACTATTAAGCCACTGGAGTCAGCACCCCAAAATAAGATGCATTTTCCAGCCCTGGTCTAAGTAACCCCAAGAATAAGAGGTGCCGACTCTGTTTGGGCCACTCACCATGCCAGGGAGAACTTTGTGTAGGGTGCTGTCCAGGAACTTATTGACCACCTTGGGTAGCATGCTAGACATGAGCAGAGGAGGATGGTGAAGAGGTGCACAGATGTCAGGAATGTAAGACATGTCAGGTCATGCTCAAGGAAGTGTAATGACTGAAGAAGCGGGATACTGGGGTTGTGTCAGTGTGGAAGCAGTCTTTCTCCCCAGCCTGAGCAGGCCCCACCCTCACAGCTTCTTACTTGCTAGGCAGGTTGGTCTTCACACTGACCAGGATGACCTCACAGCCCTCACTCTTGAACATGGGAAGACCCGTCTCCTCATCCTGCAGAAGCCGGTTGGTGGCTGTGATATTCAGGACCACGATGATCTCCATGTACCCACCCATGAAGCTGGAGGAAAGGACCGATGGGTATCACTGTCACTGAAGCCAGTATCCCTGCCCTCTCCTTTCTCACACCCTCAGCTGCTCTGGGAAAGAAAAGGTCTTTCCTGATCGGACAGAGGAGGGGATAGGACCTGCCCAGAGTTACACACCTAGCCTTTCCCCCTCCCTTTTACCTTGATAAGCTCCCATATAGCCTTCAAAACACTGCTTAGCTATTAGCACCTTCTTGATTTCCTAGCCCCTAATGCTACAAATCGAGCTGCGAACCTTAAGGTCAGCAATTTAAAACTATCAGCTGTTCCGCAGGAGAAAGATGAAGTTTTCTGCTCCTGTAAAGATTTACACCTCGGAAACCCTGTACAGGGTCGCTATGAGTCGGAACTGACTCCACGGCACATAACAAAAAAAAAACAAACAAATGCTTCCTTTGTTCTAGGCCAACCCCTCAGTCAGTTATTGTCCAGGAAAAGTAGGAGCCAAGTCTGCATCATTTCAGACCACAGCACCCAGGTAGCACACAGTATGCAATAAACATGCAGCAAAGAGTAAGACAGAGATGCCACCCACCTTCCCCAACTACAAGCCACTCACCTTTTGCCAGTGATGGTCATGCCAGTGGATACACACTGATAGATGCCCACCTCAGGTACAAAGTTCAGTGTGATGACAGGTACCAGGACATCCTTCACCTTCAGACTGGGAGGAACAGACAATCACAGGAATGAGAACTGAGCAGGTGAGACCCGGGTCCTACTGAATCTCCATCACCTTGCTAGAGGCCTGGGGGAAATTCTCTCATCTCATGTCACCAGGATAAGCCTTCCTCATGAGGTCATAACTGAACCCAAATAGAAAGCTGGACATAAACCAATTTGTACTGAGAAAGCACATACCATGTGTAGGGTAGGACACCTGGCTGATATATTGCATGATCTTGGGCTTCTCCCATTTCTTCTGTGGGTGTGTTTTCCCGCTGAGAAAATGGGAAGGTTTGCCTAGATCAAGGGCTCCCAATAGTGGCACTATTGGCACTCTGGGACCACTGCTTCTGTCACGGGCTGTTCTGTGCATCGCAGGATGTCCATCAGCATACCTGAGCTCTATTTACTAGATAGAGCACAAGTGTCACCTGGTTTTCCCTTCCCAAGTCATGGCAATCAAAAATGTCTGCAGTCATTGATGAATGTCTCCCAAGGACAAAATCACTCCGAGTTAAGAACCACCAATCTAGATCCGGGGTAGAAAAGATGTAGCCTGCAGACATTGCTAACTGATCACAGTCCTACTTTCAGCTAAGCCTAGGTTGTTGCTCTGTACCGTTGAGTCAATTCCAACTCATAGAACCCTGTACAGAGTTTCTGAGGAGCAACCAGTAGGTTTAAATCGTCAACTTTGTGGTTCACAGTCCAGTGCTTATTTTACAGCACCACACCAGGAGTCCAGGTAGTGCCCTAGAATTCTTCCAAGGACATCCCTTAGGCAGCCCCTGCTAATCAATCCCTGATAGCATGTGCAATGGAACTGACTTGCCACAGTCATTAGCTTCCTGGCTCTGCCATCTGAGGATTTGTATTCAATTTCACATGAACTCAGTGAGTCCCTGCTGCATACAGGCAGTTGGAAATGGATTTGTCAGCCTCCTGTCCTTCTCACAATGACCTTGCTACAGGCAGGGCAGGAACTGTTCCCAATGGATCACTGAGGATTCAGAGACCCCGGCAGAAGCAGTGACCTGTCCAAGGTCATTCAGCAAGACAAGGCAGAAAGAGTCCCAAGTCCCACAGTAGCTCTCACCTAGCTGTCTCCAGTCCCCACACCACCCTCTGCCCAACTGCAGCCCCTGGAGGCACCACTCACTCAGTGATGCCCTTGATGGGCTTCACCCCCGGCTGCTGCTTGCCCGCCTCAGCTGCCATCTTCTCCAGGATGTGGCTTTCATCCATGGCACTCTGGACCTCTGCAAAGGGGGGCCAGAGAAACCCTCAGCTGAACTCCCCATTGCTTCTCTGCCAGGTCCACACACTTAGGCCACTGGGTCCTATCCTGGGTAGGGTGATGTTGGGGATCAAGAGAAAATCCATGCACAGCCCCAGCCCTCCTCCAGCCTAGTGGGGGAAACAGAGCTGCCCAGAACAGCAGCAATGAGGGACAAGAGTCATAGTAGGGTGAGCATAGGAGCTGTTGTAGGAGCCACATGAGGGAACCACACCAGGGAAGGAGTAGCTGAGAGGCAACATGTCACTTGGTCCTCGAAGGAGGAATAGGAATGGGCCAGGCAGGACATTAAGAGCAGATGTGGGGAAGGGGACAGGAGGGCAGGGACAAGTGAATGATTCAGCACTGCTGGAGGACAGACAGAGATCTGAAGAGAAACTGAAGTGATTAGCAGGAGGCTTTGAACGTCAAGCTGAAGTATCAACTTTATCTCGTGGATCCACCACTCCCAGACCTGGGTGATTCAAGGACCCAGATTCTGGGCCTGAACCCTAGAGATCCTGAGTCCCCAGCCTGGAGGCCCAATCCCCAAATGACACCGTGCCAGAAGCACTGCTAGTGTGGTCACAGACTAATTCTCAGATAGGGGACAGACACCAAGCAGTAGAACTATCATCAGTCCTTACAGCTGAACGTGACTCTCTTTATCCTAGAGTCAAGTAGCAGGGAATGAAGATCACTTTTGCTGTAGGTCCCACCACTACCACCCCCGAAGGCAATTTGACACATTTCATTTTATCCTGGCAGGGAAGAAATGGTCATTCCCATTGATATTTCCTTACATTTTACATTTACAGATGAGCAAACCGCAACACAGCTCACCGTGATTCATGAGGTCCATGCCCAGTCGCAGCAGCGCCCCGGGGTCAGCTCGTGTGTCTGTCAGCAGCCGGCAGAGTGCCAGGTACAGGAGCCACAGCATGACTCCACCTGTGCCAGAGAGGCCTGAACTGGGTGCAGCCCACAAGGCCCTGGTGCACCTGGGACTTCTAGATCCCTAAACAAACCAGGTCCCTGGGTAATCTTGGGATGCTAGTCAGTTCAGCAAACAGTTATTACTGCCTTCTCCAAAGGGGTCAGGGAGCCTCCACATGAAATGTGGGACCTCTGGAGTCACCCTGGGCAGTCACTTCCCTCTTTAAGCCTCAGTTTCCTCATCTGTGGAATGGGTATGATATGCTCTGACCAGTCTGCATTATGGGGTTGGCAGGAGGCTCAACTGTAGTTATTAGTGGATTCAAATGTGACTCCGTGCCAGACAAGGATAGGGCTCCAATCCCTCCAGTTCAGGAACCCTCTGCACCTTTGATCCCAACACTCCATAAATTATGTCTCCGTGTCCTCCAACCCAGCCTCACTTCTACATAAGACTCAGAAATCTCAACTCACAGATCCATGAGACATTGCCTCGCCAACAGGGAAACTGAGGCACACACTTACAGTCTCATTGACAGTGAGGAGCAGAGCAGAACTAAACAAGGACCTCCCACCTCAAACACTTTAGGGTTCCCAGGAAAGTCCCAACCCACCCCTGGACCCCAAAAATGATTCCCTCCTACTTACCACAGCCTGAAATTCTCCCAACCAGAAGCCAAGTGTTGATTTCACGTTTGAGCTTTGACTGAAAAGGCAATGAATCAAGAAGTCACGGGGAATTTCGTATGGGCCACTGAGGGCCTCACTGGTGCACGAGCTAAGATGGGCACCTTCAGTGGGCCCACCTCTCCTGTCCTGAGCTAGGGTGCATTCATTCCTGAGTGCATCCATTCATTCATTTATCTTATGATTACTGAGTGCTTACTATGTGCCAAGGAGTCCTGAACACTCCAAGGTCCATAATTCAAACTCACCAGCCACTCCTTGGAAACCCTATACAGGTTTCTGTGAGTCAGAACCAACTTGATGGCACTTAACAACAACAACTAGGTGCCAAAGGAGCCCTGGTGGTACAGTGGTTAAGTATTCACTGCTAACCAAAAGTTCAATGGATTGAACCCACTAGCTGCTGCTCTGTGGGAGAAAGATGCGACAGTCTTCACCTGTAAATATTGTTGCTAAGTGCCTTCAAGGTGGTTCCAAGTCACAGTGACCCTGTATAGGGTTTCTAAGGAGTGGCTGGTGAGTTTGAATTGTGAACCTTGGAGTGTTCAGACCAGAGCTGATCCTACAGCCCCACAAGATTGTTGCTGTTCTTAAGTGCTGTCAAGTCGGTTTGGGCCCATAGCGTCTCTATATAGGGTTTCCAAGGAACAGCTGGTGAGCTTGAACCGCCGACCTTGCAGTTGAAACCGACTCTGCAGTGCAGCGCATTAACCCACAGCGCCACACCAGGACTGTCTATGGGGCAGCTCTACTCTGTTCTATAAGGTTGCTATGAGTCAGAAACGACTCAACGGCAATGAGTTTTTGTTTTTGTGTGTGGCTGAGTTATTTTGGGGTTGGGGGTGGACAGGCAAACCAAGCTATAAGGTGTACATGGCGGAGACTGTCCTGCTCCTCCTGAATCCTGTCTGGAGGAAGAGTCACACAAAGCAATTTGTTGTTGTTAAGTGCCGTCGAGTCAGTTCTGACCCATAGCAACCCTGTATAGGGTTTCCAAGGAGCAGCTGGTGAGCTTGAACTGCCAACCTTGCAGTTCAAACGGCTTTGCAGTCTGGTGCATTAACCCACTGTGCTACACCAGAACAAGATAAAGTGAATTCGTTGTCAGGGAAGGTCCCTTTGAGGAGACCTTTAGGCTGATTCCCAAAGGATGAGGAGCCAGGAAATCAATACTCACTAATCAAAACTTAATTGATTTCACTGTCAACCCATTCCATATTTAAATCTCCATCCCAGCAGCTCCTCTGTCTCTATAAACACACATTCATGGGCCATGGCAGGTGCCAGGCACCCACACAGCTGTTTGAAAACCATCTCACAGGAAGGGTGAAGGTCTGTGGCAGAGCTGCAGAGATTGGTGAAGGTGCCCTCAAACTCCAACCCCAGGCCCATCTCACAGATGGGTAGACTGAGTACCATCCCATCTTCCCACTGCTAGGTCAAAACTGTGCCAGCTGTGAAGGTCACTCAGAGCAGGGTATTTTGCCCTCTAGGAAGTCCTGATGTAGCACTATAGGATAAGCATTCAACTTAAAGGTCAGTTTGAACCCAAAGGTTTGCGGTTCAAACTCACCACCCACTCCTCACAAGCCTTATACACAATCTCTATGAGCCGGAATGGACTGGAGGACACCTAACAACAACAACAACAACAACAACCAAAAGAGGCTCTGGATAACAGAGCAGTGAGGGGCATCCTTCCAGGACAAGCGGTTAATGCCAGGGCTCGGCTTTTGGTTGTGTTTTTGCTTATATCTCCCTCCTGGAATGCTCTTACTCCCCAACCCTCAGCCCCATTCATAACCTGCTTATCCTGCAAGTCCTAGTCTTAGCCCTTACCTCCTCCACCAGGAAGTCTTCTCTGAAGCTCCAGTCACTAGCCACCTAAAAGATCCCCTGTTTGAGCATGACTGTGCACAAATTCCATTACTCCCTAATGAGTATTTCCTGCTGCCGTACCCCCATCCTCTGAACACAACTCTTCCTCCACCTGGAGTCCTTTCCTCTCTTCCTCTCCCTCTCGGCCTGGTGAATGCTCCTAGAGGCCCCCAGCCCCAGCGACTTGGGCTCAGCTCTGAGCTCCCACAAAGCAGAGCCTGGGGCTCCTCCCTGCTGGTCTTCCGTTAGCCTGGGATGGAGCCCAGAGAAGCCCTTGAGCCTGCTGCCTCTGTGGTCTGTCCTGAGTCCTACAACCAGGTGTGCACTATCTAAAGGTTGCACTGCCCAGTGGCTGACTGTGATGGGAGACAGCTGGGCTGGGCTCTGAGCTCTGGCTCTGCCACGTGTCCAGGTGATTTCCCTCTCTGGGTTTCAGTTTGCTCACGCATAAGAATGAAGGGATGGCTGAGACTGTCCTTACCCTGCTGAGTCCAGGAAGTTCTGAAGCTGACTGACCCTTGCTTTCGACCCTGGAAGCCCTTATATTCAGCAGCCCGATTAGCTGCTTGGGTAATTAAAGGTTTAATAAGGCCCCAGATAATTATCTAGAGGCCTGAAGAACAGGAGCTCACGTGACATGTCAGTCTGTTCCAATGTAAATAGCATGGAGGATGGATGGATGAGGGTGGCTGGGGAGCCTGGGTGGTTGTGTGAGGGTGGGGTGCCAGAAGGGCTTCATGCATACCAATAACTACAAACCCAGTTCTGAGGGGAACAAAAGCCAGGGAAACCAACGAAGCAGAGGTACAGGTTTTAGGGGGTGTGAATTAATCATCAGCTTGGAGGTCCCCTGAGCAAGGGATGCTGATGCTGATGCCAGGAGCTGGAACTGAAGCCAGCTCTGCACAACAATGAGAAGGGCATTCGCAGTGCCAGAGTGGGGAGTGGGAGGAACCAGTGGCAAACTTGGTTGGACTGATGGGGACTCACTGTGGAGGCATGAGAAGCTAATGTCCCAGTGCAGCATCCTCAGAGGGACCCTCGTAGGGGAGATATTGGGAGGTGGAAAGTGTCCAGTCCAAGCCTGGGGCAACAAAGGCAGGGGTAAGCCAGGTCACATGAAGAACCAGCCCAGGTCTCAGATGCCCAGTCTTTGCTTTGCCCTCCACAAACCCTCAAGCAGGTTTTTGGCTGGGGGCCTTAACCCTTGATGGACAGATAGTTCCAGAGAAGAGGGTGCTGGGGATCAGAAATTTCTTCATCTACCCACAGGGAGCTCGCAGGTCTCAAAGATTGAGTAAGCTGCTGTACCCATTGTGCACATGAGGCCAGGGAGCAGCAAGAACCTGCTTGAGACCACAAACTTGGCTAAATCCAGGTAGGGCAATGGCCAGAGCAGGACTGGACAGCCCAGGTAGTCTCCATACTGATCCGGCCTGAGCTGGAGGAACCAGACCAAGGCAACATTACAGATAGCATCATTTGATCCCTGCTGGCCCGCCCCCAACAGACAGATGGGCAAACAGGCCTCACATCCTTCTCACACCCACAGATCCACCCCAGGATGCCTCTGGCTCCATCCCCTGGCCCTCCCTGCCCTCTTGCAGGGCTGATCTGGACATAGGGTTGGGTGAGGTAAGAAGGGCATAGAGTAGGAGGGGCGGTAGAAACCCCCTTGAATGGGTTCAAAGATCTGGTTCCCAATCCCAGTTACTGCCGTCATAAGCTGTGTGGTCTTCGGTGGCTCCTTCAAACATGTTGGTGGAGGGTGGCATTCCATGATGCTGATGTCAGACACTGTGCTAGGTGTGTGCTCTACACCAGTCCTCTTCATCCTCACAATTACCCTGTGAGGAAGGAGCCCTGGTGGTGTGATGGTTGAGCGCTCAGAAGCTAACCCAAAGATGGGCAGTTCAAACCTACCCAACAGCTCTATGGAGAAAGATCTGACAATTCACTCCCATAAAAAGTAGGCAGTTACCATGGAGCCAATTCCAACTCACAGGGACCCTGTTTGGCACAGAGTAGGAGGTCCCAGGCTGTCAGCTTTATAGAAATAGACTGCCACATCGTTCTACCTCTGAGCTACTGGTGGATTTCAACTTCCAACCTTTCAGTGAACAGTCAAGCACTTAACCATTGTACCACTAGGGCTCCAAAAGATTACAGCTAAAAAAAAAAACAAACCCAAAAACCTATGGGGGCAATTCTATTCTGCCACATGGGGTCGCTATGAGTTGGAAACTGACTCAATGTTACCTAGCCACCACTACTCTATGAGGTGGATATTTTTGCACATTTCTCCATTTTACAGATAGAGAACTGAGGTTCAAGTAGGTCAAGCAATTTGCCTGAGATCATACAGAAATGTGTGGCACAGTTGGGGTTGAATCTGGATTCAAGGGACTCCAGAACCCAGGCCATGACCTTCTAAGGAATACCTACTCAGACTCCTACCCATTGGCCTGACCTCCCCGTTTCCCACAAGCCCTAGAACTGCCCTGTCTGGCCCTTTACAGCACCCTCCCTGCTGTTACTACAAATTAAGCCATCTTCCAGGCTCAGCAGGAGGTTCCTTCCTCAGAGAGCCTTCCTTCACCATCCCTAGCCTCCTCCTACCCCTCAGATACTAAAGATAGGGCCAGCCCTACAGCTCAACAGTATCTCTGCCTCTCTCTGCAGAAGGACCCTCTGGGAGATCCAACAAAGGTGACTCCAAGTCCAGCAGCTCTCACCTACTTTTGGGGGCTGGATACCCCAAATGGCCTACATGGGGCTCGAGGCTGGGGCTAGTGGGGACAGAGTTCCAGCATAAACATGTGCACACAGTCACTCAGCATGCAGGATGTGTGTGCTGGGCTCTAGGAAGGGACAGTCAGAATTGATTCCCTGGAAACTACCTATTTTTTATGGGGGCAGATTGCCAGGTATTTATACACAGAGCTGCTGGCTGGGTTTGAGCGGCATGGTTAGCATCCAAATACTTAACCATCATACATACCATCATTTGTGTGTGCTGGGCTCTGGGAGGGGTAAGGGTGGAGAATCAGAGATTGGTCTGGTCAGGGGAGGTATGGTAAGAAGAGAAGCTGCCAATACAAGCAACCTAGATAGGAGATGGCAGGACTTCAGAGTCCCAAGGGTTTGGAGAATTGAAAGGAGAAAGACAGTGTTAACCCACTGGTCAGGGAAGACTGCATTGGACAGGTTGATGAAGGGCAAGAAGTTTCAGGGGCAGCAAATGGCAAGACCTAAAGAGGAAATAACTAGTGTATATATTCAAGGTTAAGATGTCTAAGTGCAGTGTTTGAGCAGAGCCAGACCTGGGAGGACATGGGCCTTCCTTAACTGCCCTATTGGACCCATTACCCATCTGTTGCCTCTCAACTCCACATGCTCCTTCAGTATATGGTCTGATACAGCAGAATTCCTTTTCAGTGAAGTGAGCATCATGTCTACCTTGTTCTGTAGAGGACCCTGGAGGAACATTGCAAGAGGAAAGAACGTCCTGTGATTGCTATCTGGGACAGGGTTGATAACATAGGTATAACAGCACCCCATAAAGCCAATCCCAGGCCTGGGCACAGAATACCATTCTACTACTCTGCAACCTCAGCCTTTCCACAGCCTACTACTGTGCGTAGCTTGCAGGAGGGCTTTGAAGACCTTCTCCATGCACTGTGCCCAGACTTCATACCCAGCCACAAGTTTGCAGGTCACCATCTCCTCCACCTGCACTCCAAACAGTGGCCCATTATTAACACAGCAGCTCCAAACGAAATCTGGTCTGGCCAAACCACAGAACTTCTCTGTTGTCTGGGTGGGCTGAACCACACCTTCAGCAGGCCTAAATGCCGTGGTATGTTTGTCATTCCTCTATACTCTTCCTCAGTCCTAAGGGTACAGTATAGAATTTCCCTCTATCTTATATTTACTCTTTGATCATAGTTACTAATTCTCCATACCAAATTTCCCCTCTTTAAGCTACTGTGTGGTTTCTACCTTCTGATTGGACCTAGACCAAACACTCATCTGTCCCTCTCAGCACCCAGCACTCAGCAGTCATCTCAGTGAATGGTTTATGGTGTTCCATAGAGATTTGACCAGAGGCATTCTCCGGGCAGGGAGCGTGATTCAGTTGTTGTTCCTCTTCTCTTTAAAAAGCATGTATCGCAGAACCAGCCACATTGCAGGCATCAATAAAGCCAAACTAGTTGGAAAAGAATGTTTGAATAAATGCATGGATGAAAGGATGGGTGGATGAAGAGATAAAAAGATAGATGAATACATGGACAGGTGATCAGATGGATGAACAGATGGGCAGGTGGGTGGGTGGATGGACAGATGGAAAGATGGATGCATGGGAGGGTGGGCAGATGGATGGACCGATGGAAAGAGGAATGGATGGAAAGATGGGTGGATGGACCAGATGGGTGGATTGCCAGTGTGATGAATGCATACTATATATTGTATTCATGATCATTTTCTAGTTTATTAATTTCCTTTATGGACTTGGGCTGTGTTTTCAACTTTTTGTCATCCCCATACCCCAGGCAAATGAAATAAGTGCCAAGTTGACTTGAGCAAAACCATGAGGTTGGATTTTATACTCTGTCCCTTTCCACCATTTTCAGCACTACTCCTGTCTTCTTTCCATCACCAAGCCCCATGCTCAGTCCAGGCTCCTCGGTCAGTCACATGGTAACCCTTGTAGGGAAATTAACCTGTAACCCTTGTAGAAAGAGGGGCTATTATCTCACTGCTTACTGATGGTGGGAATGCAAGTGCTTTTTGCTCCCCAAAGGAAACAAACAGACCAAAAAGCCTATATAACTCAACAGGAAGGAATACAATGTCTTGCTAAAAAATTCGTTTATCAGGAGAGAAATGCTGACTCTGGATTTGTATCCTTGATCTTCCAGAGATCATCTCAACGCAAGAGACCTATTGGGCTTGAAGAGGTTTCAGAAGAAAAAGGAACTAAACATATTCATTGAGACCAGAGGAACGGAGGCCCAGGAATCAAGTCTTGTCTCTTTAGATAAAAAATCTTGCTCATGACCAAAATAAAGGAAAGATGGAGATGTTGCCTGGGAAGATGAGTTCTCTGTCACCTGAGCTGGTGACCCAAGGGCAAATCCCAGGTGGGGATACTGGTGAATGGAAGAGGGAACTGCCTGGATTCTAGGAAGGCCAACCAACTCAGGGAGACCTGGGCACATTCCTTTTCTTATTGGGCTTCAGTGTCTATATCTGGAACTCCAGACCCTGCCTGACTTGCAGGAATCTTTTGAGGCTCTAGTAACACTGTGAAGGGGGCATGTCACCAGGTAGGGGCACAATGCCTAAAGTGCTCCTGTAGTGTTCATCATGTCGGCCCATCCAAGTGGATCTCCAGGGTCCTCTTCCAAAATATCATCCTCCTGGACAAGGAGGTGACAGAATCAACAGAGATGTGGTCACATCTTCTCCCTGTCTCAGGCAATGTTGGTGAATCTAGGAGCAGACAGACCCAGGAACTGGCCTCATGTACACAAGGAGGTGGCCGGGCCTGACTGGAATTTGCAGTTCAAGAGATGTTTAATATAAGAGGGGAGAGGTCTGTACATACTGCAGGGGCACTCTGCTCCCCACAAACAGAGTAGTAGAGAGAAGAGGAGGGGAGGAAGGGGAACCAAGTACTCTGAAGATTAAACAGCCCAATGGGCCGGCCCACTTGCTGGCGATGCCTGAGAACTGCTTTGCCTTAGTAGTTTCCAGAGTGGCTTGAGGTGAACAGCAAGCTGGTCCACTTTCAGCTCTCCCGGTGGTCCCACCTCAGCGCTGGTAGAAGAGTCCACTGGACACCACAACATAGCCCTAAAGGTCAAAGAAAACCAGGAAGACCAGGCCAGAGGTCATATGAGAACAGGTAGGGCTCCTAGTCACCCATCAGTGCTGACTCCAAGTTCATGCTCCACCACTGATCGTGTGTTCTGCAGAGAGTCCTCTCTGAACCTGTTTCCTGCTCTGCTTCTCAGGGGGTAGCAAGGCCACTGTGAGGATGCAGCGAGAGCATGTGGGAAAAACACTTAGTCTGGGCTTCCATCGGCATCTCACCATGGCTCCCCGCATGGCCAGCCACTCCCATCGCTATCTCCCCATGCTCTATACCACTCCACAGAAATGTTCAGGGACCTACTGATCATTCAATCATTCATTCATTCATTCATTCATTCATCAAATCTGCACTCAGCCTCTAGTGTAAGTCAAGCTCTATACCAGGTACTAAGGACATAGCAGAGAATAAGCCAGACTCAGTCCCTGCCCATGCCATCACAGTTACATCAGACATAAAGTTCAGCTCCTCAGTTACATGATTATATGAGCCACATTTCAAGTGCTCAATTGGTACAAATGCCCAGTGGCTGATAGTGGCTACTGTTTTAGGAGGTGCATATCTCCACTATCCAGAAAGTTCTATCGAACAGTGCTGGTCTAGAAGGTGGGCCCATCACTGACTCTGCCTGATTGGGGGTCTTGTGGATCTTGCCACTGATAGGCCTGGTGCCTGACTTCCTGTTTTTTTAGGGATGGATCACACAAATGCCTCGAGTTATAGATCTTAAGCTGGGTGAGGGGGGCGGGGGGGCGGTACGCTCCCTGGACAGAGGGTATAAATAACACATGCAGAGGTTGGGTTTGAGCTCAGCTTTTTGTGCTATGCATGTCTTGTTGAATAAATTAGGAGGAATATTATCCTGTGGGGGCACTGAAGGGTTTAGCACTGAACTGCTAAACCCAAGATCAGAAGTTCAACCCACCAGCCACTCCTCTGAAACACTATATAGGGTCACTATGAGTTGAAACCAACTTGACAGCATTTAACAACAACAATAACATACTCTAGATAAGGGGTCCTGGTGAGGCGATATTTAAATCACTCGGATACTAACCAAAAGGTCAGAAGTTCAAGTCTACCAGCCACTCCATAGGAAAAAAGTCTTGGTGATCTGCTCCTAAAATATTGTTGTTGTTGTTGTTGTTGTTGTTAAGTGTCATAGAGTCGATTCCGATTCATAGAGACCCTGTATAGGGTTTCCAAGGAGCGGCTGGTGGATTTGAACTGCCAACCTTGCGATTCAAACTGACCTTGTGAGCACCACACTAGGACTCTGATTACAGCCCTGGAGACCCTGTGGAGTCAATCTACTCTGTCCTCTGGGATCACGAGAGTTGGAATCGACTTGGCAATGCACAACAGTATTCCCGGTGAAGCAGTAAGAAGCTACAGGCTCTCAGCCTGGCAGTGGCTATGATTGAATTTCAGGACAGGTTCACAATCTCTGATCCAAGAAAAGTGGTTATAGAGGGATTAGGAAGCCCCCCCTTCATCTCCATGGCTTGCAGAGGTCCAACTACAAAGCTTTAAGGAAGTGATCTGTTATCTGCCTCCGACACTGAAAGGGCTGTGTCCCACCCAGAGCACAGAAACATGACACCCTCGAAGGCCTGAGTCCCCTGTTGTGACCTGACAAGAACTAATAGGCAGGTAGGGTCCTCACACTAGTGTCCTATGATGCCCTGACTATCTCATCTCACCGAGCTAAGGAGTCCCAGCGCCCTGGCCTGGCTGACCTGCGACCCCACTGTTTGCAGGAGCAGGGAAGAAGGGAGACAGGTGATCCCTGCCTCAGGAAGCCCTCCATCCAAAGCTCTCACCTCATAGACAAAGACCTTGGGGGAGGCGTAGTGGAGGTTGACCACATTGGGGAGGGCAATTCCAATGCCCAGGAGAGCTGCAGGAAGGGAAGGAGAAACCGAATCACAGATGAACTGCATCCTATCAGGCAGTGGAGCATTTATTAGACCCGTTTTCCAGGTGGGAAACCTAGCCCTAGAGAGGGGAAGTGTCTTAGCCAAGATCTCACCTGAACAGACAGGAACACAGGCAGCTAGATCCCAGAGACCACCCCGCCTAACCAATGAGCCTTGGAAGTGGGGAGGGCTGTGGGGCTGGGCAGGAAGAGGCAGGAGCTACAATGGGATAGAGGACAAAGCTCACCATTGAGGTGGTCTAGCAGGGGCTTCTCAAACACAGTGCCCACGAGGGTGTGCATTTGATCCATCTACAGCCGCAGAACCAGTCAATGGCCCAGAAAAGAGAGACAGTTAGACACACATGTGAATACACAAACATAAAAACAGACAGACAATAGCAATGGTACAGGCTGAGGGGAAAGGCAAATCATCTATACCTTTGGTTTAAGCAGAGCCCAGCAACACACCAGAGCTGGACCAACCTCTGAGCATAAGGCACTCTGCCATCAACTGACAGATGGATGGGAGGGCTGACTGACTGACACCCATTCACTCAATGTGTGACCAACAGGGAGATGACAGGCAGCCATGGACAGACTGACTGAAGGACATTCACTTGCTCTGAAAACAATTAGTAGGCCATCTAACACCAGATAACCAACTTACGGGCAGACGGTCTGACAGATGGAGAGACTAGTGGACCATGCTGTCTGGTGGTGGCCTCTCCACAGTGACTGAGGGAAGCTGGCACTCTGCCTGAGGCTGACACGTCCACAGGACGGTGGGCTCATGACTCAGTCATTAATGACAGGCAGAGTGAACGGCAGGCTGCTGCCTGAACCCACTGAAGGACTGAGGTTGCTCAAGGAGGACTAGCAGACAGACAGCCTGTGAGAAAACAGACTGCCAGAAGGATGGACCAGCTGACTGACCATTATTCCTAATCACCGTGGGAAGAAGCCTATATCATGGTGGTACATAAAGGGACACACACACATGCTTCTTCAAGGCCTGCCCCACCCAGTAGGGGAGTCTCTGGAGAACCCAGTTCCAGACTCACATCAATGGAACCCACGTTGGAGGAGGCCACGGTGAGCTGAACATCCCTGGAAGAGAAACAAGACTGTTCAGACTGAGTCTCGTGCCTCCCCACCCTGAAATCGCTCCCCATTGCATCATAGGCTCCTCTAACAGCCAAGGCCTCAGCTCATCGGCCGAGAGTGGTTGCGGGCCAATTGCACAGAAGATCACGCTGAGGCTGCTGATTCAGGAGGACTTACTTACCCCAGCACAGATGTGGTCCCCTGGAGCCTCACCTTGGACACGGAAAACTGGAGGCTCAGGTGCACTACCTGGACACATGGGAACACAGAGTTAGAAGACACAGAGCTCCACCCATTCCTCCACTCATTCAGGCGCAGGTGTTTGTTGAGCATCAACCATGCACCAGGCTCTGCAGAGACCGTATAAACAAGGCAAGCTCTGTCTCTGCCCTTGGGAACCTCCTCAGACCAATGGGAGAAGCAAACAATAACAAAGTAACCAGACCCTGTATTAAGTGACAGGTGTCACAAAGGCAAGATGATGGTGTGCAGAGGATGGTAGGGGACCATCTTACTCAGGGTGATTTAGGAAGGCTTCCCTGAGGGGATGACATTTAAACTGAGACTTGAAAAATGGGGAGAAGCCAGTCAAGCCAAGAGCTGGGAAACGAGTGTTATAGTCACAAGGTACAGCACATGCAAGAGTCCTGAGACAGAGCAGTCCTACCATGTTCAAGGGACAGCACAGAGACCAGTGTGGCTGGAGCAAAGCAAGCAAGGCCCAAACAAAAGACAACGAGAGCCGTCCAGCCCTCCCGGTCCAGCTCACTCACCACATCCAGGGAGAAGAGGGACTGGAAGGCAGAGTTGGAGGCCGCAACCAGGACCTCGATGGAGGGCTGCAGTTGTAGTGTGGCATTGTTGGTATGCAGTGTGACTACCGGAGTGGCACCCAGCCGCACCTTGAGCACCACAGGCATGGGCACAGGGAACTGGCGGGCCACCTGGGGAACAGAAACAGGCAACAAAGGCCGCTGGCCTCTGCCTTCAGTCACTGCGCAGAGCCTGATCTCAAGGACACCCATGGGTGGTGGTGACCATGCAGACAGGCACAGCCCACATGACCTGTGCTAGGAGGGAGGGCATCTCAGGGGCTGGAGGTTCAGAGGAGGTGCCTGGACCAGATCTGGGGCTCAAGCTTCCCAAGGAGATGATCCCCAAGCTTGGTCCTGAAGATGGCTAAGGATTGTCAAGTGAAGGACAAATCAATGATGCTACAACAAAGGGTACTACTTGAACAAAGGCATAGTGAGGGGGAAATAGCATGATGTCTGGGCAGAAAAAGGGGCCACCCCAGATGGATGAGTCTGAAGGGCAGATAATAAACCCCACTTGGGACAGATGTGAGCCAGAAGACATCCCATTGTTTACAATCCCCCAAACTCTGTGTCTCAGCCCCTAGCATGACCATAAATGTCACCAACCTCAGGAATGAGCTGGCCCAGTGCAGAGGTGTTCAGCGGGTTGTCATCTGAGTTCTGAAATCAGTCCCCACCCATGACAGGGGTTAGGACAGCCACACCCCAAGCTAGGCCATCCTTCACCCCTGCCTACAATCCCTATTTGACCTTTCCAACAGTCATCTTGTGCTTCCAAAGTGCCCTCTGCTCTCCCCATGATCTGGCCTCTGTGGGGCCTCCCAGGAACTTCTACCCCACCCACCCAGGCAGCGAGTCCTGCCCTCACCAGCTGCCCTGTGATGTCCAAGTTGAGGCTCCCAGCTTTCTGCAGCAGCAGGAGGGCAGAGTCAAACAGGTCCTTGGAGAGGCCTACAGTTGCCATGGTATCCTTGGTGTCCACGTGCAGTGGCACCATGAAGGGGGTGGTATCAACAGGCAGAACAATGGGTTTGCCCAGCAGGAAGAGCACTGCCTATAGGAGATGAAGGGGCAGCAGTGTGGCCACAGTGGGGAGGTGGCTTTGGGTCAAAACCCCACTAAGACCGGCTATCTGGTCTCTGGGCCGTACTCCCTCCCAGAATGCCCTTCAGCTCCTCTCCCCCTGCCTCCCTGTTCCTCTAGGGATCCTTAGGGCACGGTGGACTCCAAAGGCAGTAAGTCCCCATGTCTGGGTTGACAGGGGGGCACGTACATTGATATCCAGAGAAATGTAGTCATCAGTGATGGTGGGGGCACTGACCATGGAATAGCGAATCTGGGACTCAGGGCCTACAGGGTTGAGACCTAAATGAACCCAGGAAGAAGAGGAAGCATTATTTAACATTATCTCTCTATCTAAAAAGCTCAGATCTATGAGTACCTCAGTCAGCCAGAAGCAGGCCAAGAAACAAGGAGGTCATGGAAATTGCAGTGTTGTACTCCCATGATGCAGCCAGCCACAAACTATTGACTCTTGGTTTACATGTTACTCAACAGGGTTGGTTTCTGTCGAGTTGCCATTGAGTCGATTCTTCGACTCATGGCTACCCCATGTGTGTCAGAGTGCTCCGTAGGGTTTTCAACGTCCAAGTTTTCAGAAAGAGATCACCAGGTCTTTCTTCTGAGGCTCTTCTGGATGGACTTGAAGCTGCAAACTTTCAGTTAGCAGAGGCACCACCCAAAGACTTCAGCAGAAGGCTAGAGACTCCAAATTAGAAGGAAGGAGAAGGGTCACTCCAGACAGAAGCATCCTTGAAAAAGCAAGAAGCAACCATAGAAAAAGAAGGTGCAGACATTTGACCAGCATGGTCTCATTTAATCCTCGCCACGATCCTGGTATGACTCTGTAGGATAAGCACTAGACTGCTAACCACTAGGGTGGTGGTTCAAATCCACCTTGGAAACCCTATTCAGGGTCGTTCTGAATCAGAATTGACACAACAACAAAACAACAATGCTATAGGGTTAATGTCCATTTTACACACATACATGGGATTGTCTGACTCCAAAGCTGCACTTTCCTCCCACAGTAACTAAAATGTACTCGCCCCAAGTCCTGGCAACACAGGGGCTTAGAGTCCTTCAGGGAGGCAGAACCGTAGTCCCAGTTCCTCTAAGGTGTTGGGTGGTGGTTGTGTGCCGAAGCTGTAAATCTTTACTGGAATAGAAAATCTCATCTTTCTCCCACAGAGCAACTGGTAGATTCAAACTGCTGACCTTGAGGTTAGCAGCCCAGCTCTTCATCCACTCCACTACCAGGGTCCCTGTCCTCTGAGGGACACGACTCATTTCATCTGTCTTACGTGCTGGTCACTTAGATTTCCTTCCTATATTTTTTTAATTCCTCAAAGACAAGGGCAAGAGTTGGTCTTTGGTATGAACCCCACTATAAATCTTCTTGGGATTCCTGGTGTGGATAAGCACTAGATTGCTAACCACAAGGGGATACCTGGTACAGGGTCGCTATGATTCAGAACCGACATACTGGCATTTAACAACAGTAAAAACATAATGCATCTTGACGTAGATAACTCTACTGAGGAAAAAGGAAAACTTACAGTGAGTTTGTTGTCTTCCTGGTACTTCACTGTGCTGTCTGGTAGTAACATATCTAAGAGGTACCAATTTTGATCCTCATTATTTTGGATCAAATGATTTGGCTCAGAGAGATTGAGTGATTTCCCTAAGATCACACAGTAAGTGAGCAACCGAGTCAGAAATAAAGCCTAGGTCCTTTGATTACTCTGGTACCTCATTTTAAGGTAATATGGGGGTTGGGGCAGTAGGGAAACCAAGCAAATCAAGGACCATTGTGCAGGTAAGGTGACTTTGAACTGGGCAGTAAAATGCCGCCAGAGCATTGGGTGAACATGTGAGGAAAAAATAACTGGGTAAGCCGGCTCATGGGGAGCTCTGAGCACCATACTGAAGACTACACTCCTCATCTGTAAACTGGGGACAGAGATGCCACTCTAGTGCTGGGAGTGTAGGGCAGGATATTGCAAAAAGAATGGTAGGGATTCCATGAAGACAACAGCAGGGTCTCTTCCAGCTATGAGAATCTAATTTCTAAAATCCCACAATTTTGAATAAATCAGTGATGGTAGAGTCTAAGATTCTCTAAGACTCATAACTTAAAGATTTGGTTTGGTTTGGTTTATCACTTGATCTAAGATAAGCAGATTCTAGAATCAACGACTTGAATGAAGATCTCAGAATTTGAAGATTCCCAGATTCTAAACTGTGCAGATTTAGGAGCCCACACAATTCAGTCATCGTCCGATTGAGCTCCCAGAGTCTCAGAGCTCTCCCTAGAGTCATGCATCTTACCAATTAAAGTGCCCAAGTGGACATTGAGGCCCTGCACCAGGTTGGAGATGCTCAGGCACAGCTGTGGCAAGACAGAGAGAATGAGAATGTGGTTAGGCTGTCTGGGGCAGGAGGGACTGCGGGTCCCTGTCTGAAAGCCTGCCCCTACACACACACATACACCATGGCCTGGAATCCCCTCCTTCTCCTCTCACACTGGGGGGATCTCCTGGTACCTACTAAGGGCACTAGAGCAACAGAAAAGAAGCATTCCAGTAGTTGGTAGGGCAAGGTGGCCCTGGACCCTGAGGGACACGGCAGCAGTGGCCATAAACTGGGACTCAGGGGCTGAGGCAGGGAACCTGCTGCTTCTAAGGCCGTTAGCCTAAGACAACTACCTGCTCCTAGCAGCCATCACCCCTGGGCAGTGAGGACCCCTAGAAAAGTCAGAAGGGGAATAAGCCGGGCAGAAGATGGAGCAGAAAAGGAAGACCTTGACTCTGGGTTTCTGACTAGATGCAGTGGGCCCTGAGAAGTGAGGCACTTTGGAGCAAAAGAGCTTCAGCTCTGAGATGCTGAGTGGAAGAGCCTGTAGGACTTCCAGGAGGAGGCGTACAGGAGGAAATGGGATGTAAATGCCTGAGTCTCAGGAGGAAACCTCTAGTCAAGGTGCAGAAGGTGGTGCTAATGGTGGGTACAGACAGTGGCCAGCAAGGCCAGACCAGGCTGAGCTTTGCTCAGTGGCAGTGTGGTCAGGTTGATGGGAGGTGGGAGCAGAGGAGCTATTGGAAGGCCTGGGGCAGTCACCATCATGTGCAGGCAAGAGCTGGTGAGACTGTACCAGTAGACGCAGGAGACAGAGGAGAGGGCAGGACTCCCCTTCCTACAGAGACACACTTGCAGCCCCAACCCAAAGAAGCTGTGAGGGGAGCAAGGAGACAGCACAGCGGGCCAACAGGCAGGGCCAAGGGACCCATGGGCCACCTGCAGGATTCTCAAAACAGACTGCACCCACTGTCACCCCTTCAAGCCTCAGTTTTCTCATCTGCAGCAGGTACCGTGGATGACACACAGTGGCTTGATCTGGCCTCACCAACCACTCTTTGGAAACCCTTTACAGGGTCGCTATGAGTCAAAACCAACTCAACATCACTTAACAACAACAGCCTATTAAAGGGAGCTGGGAGTGGGAAGGATAGCAGGGAGGATAACTGGCCACCCCAGGCAATGGGACCCAGATAATGACAAGAGTCTGCCCATCACAGTTCTAAACTCCCCATACATCTTCATTCCTGTAAACCCTGAGCAAACCCGGGAAGGAGGTGCTTGTACTCTCTGCATTACAGGTGTGGAATCAGAGGCACAGGGAGGTCAAATTATTTGTCCAAGGCACACACCTGAAAAGTAGGGAAACCAGGATTCGAAAACCAGACCACATCTGGCCTCAGTGCCATGTCCTTGTCCACTCTCATTTTATCTATTTTTCACAAGCCTCCTGAGCCCTGAAGCACTGCCCCTCACCCCCCACTTTGCCCTCTGATGTGGAATTGGGAGCTGGCCAGAAGAGACTCTCCCTCCCCTCCTCCCTGGACCACAACATGAGACTCTTCCCTGCCCTCAGGGGGCATTGAATGAGCCCCACAGAGTCCTATACTTTAAAAAAAAAAAAATCCTGCCCTCCCCCACCTCTCATCCTGTCTAAAATCCCACCATCCATTCACCTTGTCTTCTGGGTTACACAATGCCCTCCCTCCAAGAAGACATGCCCACAAGTCCTTTACCTTGTTGCTCAAGACAGCTTTAATGTGTTTCTGCAAGAGGACCAGCAGTGTTGGGGAGGCACTAAGGAAGAGACAAACAAAGATTCCTGAGTCCACAGGTCCTGTCCCTCCGCAGAACCACACATCTAGGAGAGAAGTCTCTCCCCTCAACCAGGAGACCAGTGACTTCCATTTGATATCATGCTTTGTGACACACACGGTGCCAGAGTCATAATTGTCCCATTACAGATGAGGAGACCACAGTTCCAAGAAGAAGACCATTTGTCCCAATCTGTGCAAGTGGCCAAGCTAAGTGAGGCCAGGCTTGGGGGAGACAGAGAGAGTGCTGTACAAGTCAGCTTCAGGTATGTCCTCGGCTGGCTGGCTTTGTGGCCACTCTGAGCCCAGTGAAGCAAGAGATGGAGATGGGATCTGTGGGACTTGCTTCCTGCTTGGGCTCCCATTCTCTGTGACACTTTTAGTAAAGTGCCTTCCCCTTTCTGGAGCTCAGTTTCCCCTCTGAACAATGAGAAATGGATCTAAACTAGTGTTTCTCAATAGTAGCCCATAGGAAGCCTCTAAACATTGATTTGCTAAAATCTGGACTCAAACCACAGCCCAGGTTCACTGTAACAACTCATGAGGGGAAGGAGGGGATGCCCCATTAGGAAACCATGAGCAGACCCCAGCTGGAAGGGACGTGATAGGTCACGAGTTGCACAGGATGATCACCAGGCACAAGCTAGAATGGATTTAGACCCAAACAACCCTTGACAAAGAAGATCAGTCCTGTGCAACCATCACATTCTTTTAAGCCTCCAAAATGCTCATGCACCTTACAGAAATTCCTCCTCACCCCCTGATCTGGAGGAGATAGTGTAATGTAGAGATATTGACAAGCAGTGGGATTAGGCAAATTGCCCAGGTTTGAATCCTGGCTCTACCATTTGCCAGCTGTGTAACCGTATGAAAGTTATTTAACTGCTCTGTGGCTTAGTTTGTTCTTCTAAAAAAGGGGGAACTGATCACACCTACCTGATAGGACCACTGTGAAATGATCCATGTAAAGGGATTAGATAGTATCTGCCTACTAGCACACAGTTGTTATGTGCCGTGGAGTCGGTTCCAACTCATAGTGACCCTGTACAGGGTTTCCGGGGCTGTAAATCTTTACAGGAGCAGAAAGCCTCAACTTTTTCTCATGGAACAGCTGGTAGTTTTGAACTGCTGATCTTGCGATTTGCAGCCCGATTCGTAACCACTATGCTACTAGAGCACACAGTAGGTACTCTGAAAGTAGGAGCCACTTTTAGCATAAGATGAGGGGTCAACTGACTCCCTGTGAGAACTTGGCCAGACCTCACTCTCTGGGCTTCATCTCTGCCAGGCAGAGCCAGCCTGGTCCGTCCACCTACAATCCCTCGGTCCAAGTAGTAAATCAATGGCTGGTGCACATTGTCACAGGGTACAGGGCAGTGTAGATAAAATGGGCTCAGGCAGCTCATTCACTACATGACTTGGATTAAGTCCCTTCCCCTCTCCGAACCTCAGAGCCCTCAGCCATAAAGTAGACATGATATTGAGTTGTGGTGATTGGATGTAGTCTTGAGTGATAACCACTACCCAGGAGTGCACAGCCCAGCCCTCACCAGGCACTCACCTATTGCTGTCCTCAAGCACGTTAATGTTGCCGAACAGTGTGGAGCAAGCAGAGATGCTGACAACAGGGGTCTGGATGGAGCCCTGGGCCACGCGGGCATCAGCCAGCAGTACCACGGGCATCGTTAGCACCAGGGGCTCTGGGACCCTGTCAAGAGGCACCACCCACCTGGCTGTTACAAGACCCTGCCAATCCCCGCAGACCTGCCCTCCTTTTCATGAAGGAAGGGCGCCCACTCAACAAGAGATAATCCCACTGGGGCAGGTCCAGATACTGCCGCAGACCCGTTGTTGTTGTTAAGTGCTGTCAAGTCCATTCCGACTCATAGTGACCCTGAATAGGGTTTCCGAGGAGCAACTGGTGAGTTTGAACTGCCTATCTTGTAGTTCAAACTGACCTTGCAGTCAGTTTGTGCATTAACCCACAGCACCACACCAGGAGACCAGTAGCAGGAGACCGGTAGGAACTTCATAGTCCCATGCCCTCTCAATGGGAGATGCTGAGCCAGTCACTGAGCCTCAGTTTCCTTGTCTGTAAAATGGCTCTAAGATTGGTGGTACCTGTCTCACAGGGCTGTGCTGAGTTTTCTATGAGCTACTCAAAAAGACACAGCTCAGAGTCACAGTAAATGCTCGTAAATGACAGCATCAAGGTACAACTGCAGCCACTTAGTTGTAGTGACCCTATAGGACAGTAGGACAGGGTAGAACTGCCCTGCACCATAGGATTGGCAAGGTTAATAAATCTTTATGGAAACAGATTGCCTCTTCTTTCTCCCACGGAGCCACTGGTAGGTTCAAACCACTGACCTTTTGTCCCAAACACTTAATCTATTGTGCCACCCAAGCTCCTAGTTGTTGTTATTGTTATGTGCCATGGAGTCAGTTCCGATTCATAGCAACCCTGTACAGGGTTTCTGAGGCTGTAAATCTTTATAGGAGCAGAAAGCCTCATCTTTCTCCCGCAGAACAACCGGTAGTTTCGAACTGCTGACCTTGTGGTTCACAGCCCGATTCATAACCACTATGCTACCAGAGCTCCTTAAGCTCCTGGTGTCAGGACCAAACCATAAACCACACCCACTGCCATCAAGCTGATTGCAACTCACAGAGACCCTACATAGGGTTTCTGAGATTGATTCTTACATGAGCAGGCAGTCTCATCTTTCCCAAGGAGCCGCTGATGGATTTGAACCTTGGACCTTGAGGTTAATAGCCCAGTGCCTAACACAAAGCACCACCAGGGCTCAAAGATCTCTTTTCCGTGGCCAGCTCATAGTTTAAAGATTCAGTGCTACTGGGAGAGAGTAGTCTGCTTTACGATTCCCATCTGGGCTACCTAAGCTGAAGCCTTGGGCTGAATATTCCCTGATATGGAGGATGGAAACTGGGTCTCACTCTCTCTCTCAGCTTCTTCTCCTTGTCAGAGAAGACTTCCTTCCTGTTCTTAGCTCACAATAATATTCTCTCTAGGAGTACAATATTGTTACAAATAACTACTTGTTGTTGTTGTTGTTGTTGTTGTTAAGTGCCGTTGAGTCAGTTCCGACCAATAGCGACCTATACAGGGTTTCTGAAGCTGTAAATCTTTTTGGGAACAGAAAGCCTCATCTTTTTCCCGTGGAGCAGCTGGTAGTTTCAAACTGCTGACCTTGCGGTTCACAGCCCGATCCGTAACCACTACGCTACCAGAGCTCCTACAAATAACTACTTAATTGTACAGAATTCATCTTGTCCCTGCAAGATTGTAACCCATTTTACAGATGTGGAAACTGAGGCTTGATGAAATGAAATTACTCCATCTAGTAAGACTCCTGGTGTGGCGCTGTAGGATCAGCACTGAACTGCGAATCACAAGGTTGGCTATTCAAACCCACCTCAGAAACCCTATGTTGTTGTTGTTGTTAAGTGCCATCGAGTCAGTTCCAACTCATAGTGACCCTGCATGGGGTTTCTGAGGAGCGACTGGTGAGTTTGAACCACTGACCCTGCAGTGCAAACAGACCTTTCAGTTCGGTGTTTTATCCCACAGCACCACACCAGGACTCCCAGAAACCCTACACAGGATCCCTATGAGTCAGTATTGACTGGATGGCACTTAACAACAACAAGAGTTGCACAACCAGATTATCAGAAATCCTCTCACTACCTTACTTCCCTTTTGGGCAGGAGAGAGGCAAGGTGGGGTGATACTGGACAAGAAGTCAGAAAACCCAGGCACAAATCGTGGAAGAGTTGATGAATCACCTTCCCTCACTCTGGTCCTCAGAGTGTGTCTGAAACTCCTCCCCCTCACCACCAACATGAAGACCCACTTACCGAAGGACCTTAAAATTAAAAGTGGCAGCTGCAAACATGTGCACCCCAAAATCTGCAAGAAATTTCAGGTGAAGGCGGGCCACATTCACATTCAGAATCTGGATCCTACCGGAGGTGGAAGGGAGAGGATCAAAATTACAGTGTGGCCTCCATTTCACCAAGAAACCAGCTCAGTGTCACACCCACACAGATGCTTTGAACATTTGGGAACCACTGGAGAAACCAGCTAGTTAGGAAAGGGACGCAAAGGGAGCCCAAACGTTGGGCAGGACTTGGTGAGATGATTGCCCAGGTTTTGGAGCGGAAACATTTTAGTTTCTGATCCAGGAAGGATGTCCGGAAAGGTCGGAGAGGAAAGACTTCAGGGTCCACAGAGGGCAGAAGTCCCCTCCATAGTATCCTAGTCAACAGACTCAGCTTGTAGTCCACTAGCAACAGGGAACTCACTCCCTTCAAAGCTGCCTGTCGATTACTAAGTCCTTTCCAACTAACTTATGATTGTTTTTAAAAGCATTTTTTTTCTTCCTGCATAGTAGTGGGGAACAGGGGAAGGGGGTGAAATTCAGATACTACAAAATGGTATAAAATTTAAAATCAGAACATCAAACCCCATCTTCAAGTAAATCCGTTAACACCATGATTCTCCTGTTAGCAGGGGCTGACCTAGGACCTGCTTCTTTTCAGCCCTCAGTGTGTGTTGGTGCCTACAAAGACCCAGTGCCAGTTTCAAACAGTCATGTGATGTCCGTTATGTGGCCAGACCACAAGTCACTTAGTTGTTCCCAACTCTCCACCATCATTAACTATGCTGTGAGCAGCTTCCCAGCCCTTCCTGAGGGCTCTCAAACTGGAGATCCCCCAGCCACCTGCAGCCCCCAAAGTTTTTGACTCACCCAGAGTCTCAAATGTTTTTTAATTAGTTGCTATCATTTAAAACTAAATAGGTTCTTCATGTTATGCCATATCGCTTCTCTTGAAAACTCCAAGATCTGGCAGAGTTAAATCTACATTCCTACTTTGAGCCAATTGGGTCCAGCCCCTGGAGGCACTTGAGACATCCCAACCTCTTATGCCTTTGAGTCTTGAGTGGTGTCTAAATGCACCCTCTAGCTTTGGGGGGAAGCAGTTACAACTTTGGCCACCCCTGGGAGCCCAGAAGATCCAGTCTTGACCCCTGGGATCAGAAATCCACCCAATTTCTGAAAGTCCTCTTAGCATTTGACCCAACGGGCGAGCACTCATCAAGCTGGTGGGGAGAGAGAGAGAGCACTAACCTAGCAGATGGGAGCACTCACCTCGTGGGCTGGAGTATCTTTCTACTTTGGTCCAGGAAATATGGGAGAGTGACGTTCAGGGCCTGCTGGAGAGGGGCTTTCCCGAATTCAGACACTGTAGGACCAAGGCAGGGTAAGGTTAGGCCACCTTGGGAGCCACCAAGCAAGACCACTCCATCCCCTTCTACCCGACACCTCAGGGCAGCAGAGGACTCCTTACAATCTTCACACTTCCTCCCTCAAGTCTGCCTCTCCAAGTCCTACTTGCTGAACCCAGTCTTCAAAAAGAAAAAACGCTTTGCCTTTTTGCCAGGCTCCAATCAGATGCCACCTCCTCCAGAGTGTTCCCTAAGTCCCCAAACAGAAAGAGCACTTCTCGGCTGTTCCTGGTCCCACCTGGAGGCATATTCTTGGATGGCAGCCTCCTCTAGAGGCCAAACACTCTTGAGCGTTTATTCCAACTCCGCTACTCTTGACTGGTATGACTACTCTGTGCCTCAGTTTCCCCCATGACACCAGGTCAAGTTGTGTCCTCCAAAAAAGACATGTTCAAGCCCTAACCTTGGGAGTCCATGAACATGACCTTGATTGGAAACAGGGTCTTTGCAGTTGTAATGAATTAAATTCAGATGGCAACATGGGAGAGCTATAAATCCAATGACCTTTGCTCATATAAGCAGATGCACACAGAGGAAAGACAGCTATGTGAAGACAGAGGCAGAAATTAGGGAAATGCTACAAACAAATGCAGCCACCAGAAGCTGGAGGGGGCGAGGAGGATTCTCCTCTAGAGCCTTAAGAGGGTATGTGGTCCAGCTGACACGTTAATTTCAGACTTCTGGCCTCCAGAATTATGAGAGAATAAATTTCTGTTGTTCTAAGCCACACAATTTGTGGTACTTTGTTAAGGCAGCCCTAGGAAATGGCTACATTCATCGATAAATTTGCAATGATGATGATTGTACACGTAGGCCATTATAAAGACTCGCTCGGGCACAATATTTCTTCACTATCATTGTTGCCGTGAGCATTTGTAATAAGAATGGCTGTCATTTGTATACTTCCCTTGTGCCTGGCACCATACTGATTGCTTTGTCTCACAATAATGCTATGTTAGGAACTGCTGTACCCAGTTTGCAGAAGGGTAGAGAAACTGTCAAGGGGAAGTCAGATCTGAACCGAGGAACCTGCCTCCAGAGTCTCTGTGCTCCTCAAACCAAAAATAAATCCACTGCCCTTGAGTAGAACCCAATTCATAGCAACCCTAAATCTTTATAGAAACCGACTGCCTCATCTTTCCCCACAGAGCAGCTGGTGGATTCAAGCTGCTGACATTTCTGTTGGTAGTGCAGTGCTTTAACCACTGCACCACCAGGATTCTTTACTGCACCCCCAGAGAGACGCTAGTTCAATTTAAAATGAAGGTAAAGGTGCTAGAAAGAGCACTGAATTAGGAATCAAGAGGCCCAAACTCTGCGTGGGCGCGCTGTGAGGTGCTAAGAAGCCCCTCCCTGGGCCTCAGTTTCCCAAAACACTGTTATATAAAAGTAGTGATCATTGCTCCCAATGCCCATCTTATCCTGATTCTCTGCGGCTGAACTCAAACTCACACCCAGGCATCTAGACTCCCTCTATAGTGCTCCTCTGACACAGAGTCCGAACTTGTAGGGTGGGGAGGCCATGGTAAGGAGCTACCCCACCCAGCCTTGGAAGTGATGAACTAGGCAGGTGATTTCAGCTGAGAACAAACACTCCAGGCCCGCCCTGGGGAGCTCTCTGGGGACAAAGGAGGCTCACACAGGTGCTGGGACAGACAGCAAGCAGGCAGCCCTGCCAGTGGCAGCCAGGCCCCCACGTCTCCACCTGTAGGCAGCCATGCGTGACTCCGTGTACCAGTCATGCTCTGGCATGGATCACTGACCCTTTTCATTGTCTGCCCATCTGCCCGGATACGAGGTCCCGGAAGGTTGTGTGTGGCCAGGAGGGGACTCTGTTGCCTTCCTGAGTCACTGCCTCATTCATAGTGGCTTGTTGTGGCTGTATGCCATTGAGTCAGTTCCGACTCACAGCAAACCAATATAAATCTTTATAGGAGCAGAAAGCCTCATCTTTCACTTATAGAGCAGCTGGTGGATTCAAACTGCTGACCTTGTAGTTAGCAGCCCAATGAGTAACCCTCTATACCACCAGGACGCCCTATGGTAGCTTGTTGTTGTTATTAAATGCAGTGAACTCATAATGATCCTGTATAGGGTTTCCAAGGAGCGGCTGATTGGTTTGAGCTGGTTTGACCTTGCAGATGGTAGTCCAGTGTTTATCCTACAGTGCCACACCAGGACCATCAGAAGTCCCTTCTATTGTCTGCCCTGAATTCCTCACACTGTAACCTGAGCTTATTCTGGCCTAGGGGAAAACTGCTGCTCACGTCTGACCCTTGGCCCAGCTTCAGAAGGAGCTGGGGGGTGGATGAAGGGCTATGTGCCTGGCTCCCGGACCTCAGCAGCCTCTGTCATAGTGTTTCTCCCGGGGCTAGAACAGGAGGCTCTCTGGAGAATGGCCAAAGGGGCCTGGCTTTCTGTACTTGGATCCCTGAGGGATCAACTTCAGGCTCTTCCCTGTAGTACTGAGCTAGACATGCATCTTCCCAGGCTCACATGTGCATGCATGCAACACACACATGTGCCCCTTCCTACCCTCAAACACACACAGGCACATTTCCGTGAATTTTCAAATCTATAAGCAGACACACACACACCAAAATAGACACTTAAACTGACCTATGTCCACACTACTCAGACACATGAACACAACCTATGAGAGGCATTCAAAAAGTTCATGGAAACATAGAATTGAAAGACAATGCAATTTTTCCATCAACTTTTTGCAGCACCCTCACATGTGCCCGTTGGACACATGGCATAGCTTCTATTCATCGATCCATTGACCCAGCTATTCAGCCAGCCAAACCATTTATTCAACGTACATTTGTCAACTGCCATCTACTTTGGTAGCAGATGAGACAAAAATCCCAGTCCCTACGGGGTTTTAGAGATACACAAACACACATACATGGGGCACACATGCACAGATACATGCAGAAGAGGCCCAGGGGCACATGTCTTACCATAACTCAGTGTTGCTTTGTTGAGTCTAACCATGGTGCCTGGCATGGAGGTGCCAACCATGGGCAGCAGCAGCACCAACAGCAGGCCCAGTCCACACACCCGAGCCATGGCTGTTCTGGCCACTGCCCCCAAGACCTGCGAGCTGAAACAGGGAATAAATAGCATTAGGGAGCTTGTGCAAGATGACCCATTCCCAAGTGCTTGAAGCCCACTCTAGCCTAGATCTAGTCAAAATCCCTACATGGTGGCCCTAGTTTTGCCCCAAACTCCCTGGAGATCAGTTTTTGCAGCTCTGCATTGGACTAATCATCCTCCTTCATTGGGGGATCTGACTGAAATGCCTTTCTCAAGGCCACATAGCACACTAGGGCCAGGTGCAGGACCCAAGCCAAGTCAGGAGATGGGGAGACTGGCAGATGGGGAGGTGAGGGCAGACTCTTGTCCCAAGGAGACAGCCCAGGCCCACCACCCAGGGACAAAGGCTGTGTCACCTCCTAATATGAGGAGCATGACCCAATGTGACAGACCAGACTGTGTCCAGCTAGCCAAAACCAGCCAGGGGAGGACCTAGGGGGTCTCCTGTTCCCGTCTCAGCCTGTCCCCAGTGAGAACTGTCCCAGAAAGAAGGCTTCTCACATGGCTCCCCAGCCCATCTCATCCAAGCCCAGCCAAGTGGGCAGTTGTCCTACATCCAGCTCAACAAGAAGGAGCCAGCAGGATTGGAGGACCTCTACTCAGATGGACTAACTAAGGCCCAAGGCCAGGTAGTGGGCTTGGGCCCTTCTGCAGGAGGTGGCTGCAGGCAGCCTCCCCATTAAACAGATGGAGAAGGCCAGGCTCCTTCCTTAGAGGGGCACCAGTCCCATTTATCATCTTTACCTTAGGCAATTCCTGAAGCAGGCAGTCCTCCGCCCAGGACAGGTGTGAAGGGTGCTTTATGAGGCTCCCTGAGGTGCAGAACCCATTTGGAAGGGACCTAGGGAGGGGCAGGTTTGCTTGTGGTTGCATGTGTTTTCCCTGCAAACATGGCCTTTGCCAAAGTGTCTCATCTCCCATGTATGGTGGGGCTGCCACGTAGCCAGGCCCAGCTGCCAGCCACTATAGGAGCCTGAGGTTGGTCAACTTTGGGACTCAAGGACTACGAGATCTCTGGAATAAAGACTGCATCCAGTAGGACCCCCTTGTCACCCCAGACAGGTCCAGATAGGGGCCCAGGAAGGAGAGGACATCAGAGCCAGGGGAATGACTACAATGACCTCTCAGACCTGATTAGGAGGGAAAGGTGGTCTCTGCCCAGGATAGGCATGAAGTCTGGGCCCTGATGTTAGTCCTTCACTGAGCCCTGTTCCTGGAGACAGAATGAACCCTGACCCTTGTCAGAGACTGAGCCCTGACCATAGTCCCATACTGACCCTGACCCTCATCATAGGTTGAGTCCTAGTCTTGGACATAGACTGATTCTTAAAAGAGAACTAGCAAGAAAATGTGGACATTCTCTTCATTCATTCAAGGTAGCCAGTCTCCGCTGCTAAAACCCAGCCTCTCTTCAAATGCACATCCCACTCGATTTCATCCATCATTTCGCTTCACATTACAAATTCCAGCCTCCGCCTTGGCTATATTGGGCCCAAAGAACTGGGTGTGCACATAAGAGGTCTGTGTATGCACATGGATATGTATATGGGTCGTGTATGTGTTTACATGTGTGCGTGGTTACATGTGCACACTCACATGTACTCATGTTAACATGTATACATTCAATCATAATTACTGGTGGTGGTTGTTGTTAAGGGCTGTAGAGTTGTTTCTGATTCATAGTGACCCTGTATAGGGTCTCCAAGAAGGGGCTGGTGGGTTTGAACAGCCCACATTTTGATTTCCAGCCCAGTGCTTCTTCTATAGCACCATGGTAATAGAGGAAAATATGTGTGAGTGTATGCAAGTGTACATGAAGTGGACATGTTGACAACTTGGTATATGGTATTACATGCCTGTTTAAGCAAGCCAACAAGTCCAGACATGGGAAGGTTTGCACAAGAAGCACTGATGTCATGAACAGTTAAGTTCTATACTGGGAACTGGAAAGTTGGCAGTTCAAAACCAGCCAGCAGCTCTGCAGGAGATAGACCTGGTGATCCGCTTAGAAAACCCTAGTGTAGTTCTACCCTGTCACAGTGGTCACTGTGAGTTGGAATTGACTTGACGAGGGACCAGTCACTGGAGAAGGATATCATGTTTGGTAGGGTGGAGGGTCAGAGAAAAAGAGGAAGACCCCCAATGAGATGAATTGGCAAAGTGGCAGCATCGGTGGACTCAAGCGTGGCAACAGTAGTGAGGTTGGCCCAGGATCGGGCACTGTTTTGTTCTGCTGTGCATAAGGTCGCTATGGGTCGGTACTGACTCACTGGCACCTAACAACAACAACAACAAAAGGAAAGACAGAAGAAGTGATGCATTGAGATCGTGGTGTTGGAGAAGAACATTGAATATACCACAGGCTGCCAAAGTATGAGCACATCAGTCTTAGGAGAAATACAACCACACTGTTCTTTAGAATTGAAGATGGTGAGATTTCGGCTCACGTCCAGAAGGACTGTTCGCTAGGTAATGACTTCATGTTTGATAAAGCAGTAGGCTGGTGAGCGGAGAGAAACCCTCAGTGAGATGGGCTGGTACAATAGCTGGGACGGTGGGCTTGAAATGACATGAAATGACACAGACCAGGCACTGATTTTCTGTCACCAGCAGCTCAGTGACAACTAGCTACAGCAATGTAAATGTGGGCTTTATGTACTGAGTGCATTTGCGAGTCTGTGTGTGTGTGGTGTTGGGTGAGTGTGTGTATGTGTGTGCGAAAGCTGGACGGTGAATAAGGAAGATCGTAGAAGAATTGATGCCTTTGAATTGTGGTGTTGGAGAATACTGAAGTTGCCGTGGACTGCCAAAAGAACCAATAGATCTGTTTTGGAAGAAGTGCAGCCAGAGTGCTCCTTGGAGGCCAAGATGGCTAAGCTTTGTCTCTCATACTTTGGACATATTGTCTGGAGGAAACAGTCACTGGAGAAGGATGTCATGCTGGGTAAGATGGGGAGGGTCAGAGAAAAAGAGGAAGACCCCCAATGAGATGGATCGGCCAGGTGGCATCATTGATGGCATCAAGTGTGGCGGCCGTAGTGAGGTTGGCTCAGGATCAGACATTGTTTCGTTCTGTTGTGCATGGGGTCGCTGTGAACTGGTTCTGACTCGATGGCACCTGACAACAACAATGTGTTTGTGCGTGCCTACATATATACATGCACAAGGTGTGGCAGTATAGCTTGGGGCACATGTCCCCCATTTATCTGCATATCTGGCCTGTGTACAGCCATCTTCCTTACTCTGGAACCCTCTGTGGCTCCCACTAAATCCATACCAGCCCAAATACCAGGCCTAGAGCACTGCAGGATAGTGCACTGGACTGAAAGATCCGTTTGAGCCACAAGGCCGGCAGTTCAAACCCCCAAGCCACTCCTTGGAAATCCTATACAGTGTCTGATTTGTCCCCATTAGTGCCCACAGAGCTGACTAGGGTCACAGACACCATCAAAAGGTCACCTGGACCAGCCCTCCCTTGAATCAGGGATTCCCCCTCCTGTATTCTACAGGCAAAAAGGAACAAGAAAGGCCAGCTGTGCATCCCTCCTCATCCTACTCACAGCCTCAGTTTGTTCATTGATACTTAAGACCAGGCTCTTCTGCTTTCTTACTGCAGTTGAGGCAAACAGCAGACTTAATGGAGATGCAAATATTGATCAAAGCCACTCACAGTGTTTGCTCTTGGCATTGTTACTTCCTCTTCCTCCAAATTACCAGCATAGCTACCAGTCACAAAGCAGGGAGATTCTTACCACTGGTCCTTCAGAGCCCAGCAACCTCCCTACAGTGAAAGCGAGCACCGTCCCCCGGTCCTGTGCCATCCTTATAACCCTTGCTATCTGTGGCAAACCATCTCACTAAGGGTCTTCTTCTTTGCTGGCATCTTCTTTACCAAGTGTGATGTCCTTCTCCAGGGACTGGTCCCTCCTGATAACATTTCCAAAGTACGAGCTATTTTCAGAGTCTCTTCTGGCGTCCAACCTTGATCTTTTCTTTCTTTCCAGTCTTTTTAATGGTTTTCACTTTCTTTATGTATGATGTTCTTAATGCCACTCCACAATTCATGTGCTCTTTGACCATTAGTATTCAATGCATCAATTCTATTCTAAATTCAAGTGGAATATACTCAAGGCTGTGCTTCAAGGCTTGTGAACTTGTTTTCATTTTCTTCAGCTTCACCTTGAATCGGCATATAAGCAACTGATGGTCTGTTCCTACAATCAACCCCTGGCCTTGTTCTGATAGATGATATTAGATTTCTTTATTGTCTCTTTCCACAGCCATATCCATGTGATTCCTGAGTATTCCATCTGGTAAGTTCCACGTGCATATTGCTGTTGTTAAGTGTCATGACGTCAGTTCTGACCCATAATGACCCAGTATAGGGTTTCTGAGGAGCAGCTGGTGAGCTTGAACCTCTGACCTTGTGGTTCAAATTGACTTTGCAGTCCAGCGTATTAACCCTTAGCGCCACATCAGGACTCTCTTACAAATCTAGTGCTTAACAGAGCCACACCATTACTCCTATAGATAGGTGTTGTTATTGTTGTTGTTAAGTGTCGTCGAGTCTGTTCCAACTCATAGCAACCCCGTATAGGATTTCCGAGGAGTGGCTGGTGGGTTTGAACTGCCAACCTTGAGTCTCAAACTGACGTTGCAGTCCAGTGCATTACCCTGCAACACCACATCAGGACTCTCACATGCATTGTCAACATTTATGTTGTTGCAAATAAGATATTGCCAAGGAATAGGTTATTAGTCTTGCAAAATTCTATCATGCAATCTCCCACATTGTTTTATCACCAAGGTCATATTTTTCAAAGACGGATCCTTCTTTTTCTTTTTTTCTAATTTTCACAGTCCATTCACCAGTAATTAACAGTGCATTTCGAATGCTTGTTTGATTCAAAGGTTTTCCCTGGCCAGTTTTTCAGTACATTCCCAGGTCCTCCTTCTAGTCTGCGTTAGTCTGG